ATGTATATTGTGTATATGAAGAATGGGCCAAAACTATTCCATACTTCCAAAAAAATAGGTACCTTCTATGGACCCAAAGCTTTCCAGCCAGAAGTTAATTATCAGATTGGAAATTGGGCCCCAACACACATACTATTACCTAAGAAAAAGCTTCACCTTTACTGGCAAATGCTATACAAAGAAAAAGCCTTTTTCAGTTCTCATCCTACTCAGAGCCGTTGGGTAGAAAAAGATGTGATAGATCCTGTTGAATTGCAGGAACTATTCTTGCAGCAAGGTGAAATATGAACTACCTTAAATTCTACATAGCAAACAGCAATCATCCTGATCTTCCCCTCACAACTAATACTGGTGTACCTATTTTGTAACAGCGTAACTGTCTGTTCTGCTCAGCTGTTAACAATAGCTTTGTAAGCAAGTGTTGCAAGCCCTTATGGCTTTTTGATATGCCTATGTAGCTGCTTTTCTTTCCATTTCCCCTGCTATGTGCCAGGTTACAGAAACACTTCCAAGCAGCAGATTCAGAAATAGAAAGAGTTCAAGGCCAGGTTTCACACCTGCAATCTTGCAGTTCTGGACTGTTCCAACCCTGAAGACCAAGCTCATTATTATAAATCCAAGGCTTCCAGGTTTTATGTTCAGTAATTCCAAATAAAGTCTATGTTTTTTCACTTGTTTGTTTGGGGCAGGAAGGGATGGGAGGAGCAGGGAGAGGGAATAATTCATGGGAGCTATATAATTATTACATGCATCACGTTTTGCTTTGATGAAGTGATGTAACTGATGTAACCAAATGCCACAGTAGCTCATGCAAACTAATATACTACCCAATCTAAGGCATTGTATCACTCCAATACCCTCAAAAAGAGCTGCTCCTAAATAAGCCAACATACCATTCATACTTCAGCTTCCAAAGATACTCCAAAGGGTAATACAAATTAGTACAAAGTTTTAAAGGGTTAAACAGCAGTTCTAATTTTTGATTTCTTTTAAAATTCTACACAAAAATCTGTTTTCTAAAGCACTATATATACAATTTTTAGTTTATAGCAGCAGAAGCAAGCTATTGCAAACACCCCATATGCCTCCTGAGTTTCAGAGCAGGGAGTGGGAGACAAACACCTTAAGAACAAAACAAACAAGCCCTTCCATAACACACACGTGCTATGTGCATGTACATGCCAATGACAAATTTTGACATCTAGAGAGTATTCAAAGAGAATAAGGAATCAGCAGGCACTGTGGCTTAAGACGTATACTCTGTTTTGTTTAGAAAACAAGTTGTTCTGCAATTGGATGAATTGCCATGCAAGACCAATTTCTTGACTCCACGTGTGATTTATGAAACTCATGCTGACTGTCTGCTCATCTGGATGGACTGCACTGTACTTCCTACTTTACACAGGACTTTTCTTGCTGTGTTGCTCTTGTGGCTCTCCTAAATAGTTTAATAATGTCTACGTCTCCAGCACAGAAAAAGATAAACAAAGCAAAAAAAAAAATATTTTGCAACAAGAAGAGAAAATTATATAAAAATTAAAATAACAGTGTGAGGGGACAAAACCGTAACTTTGCATTGCCCTTTAGAAGAAATATAAATAGAGCTCTCTTCTGATAAGTACTGATCATCCAAATAGAAAATAAAGACCCAATGGCATGTTCAGAAGAACCATGTAAATATCTCCCTGTTTTAGCTAAGACTCTCTCTCCATAGAGAGAGAGCAAATGCAAAATTGTTTGTACATATCTGGGACTGTAAGCCACAGGAGTGTCTGCATTGCTACTTAATTCACTCTAAAATTCATTCCAATAATATTGGTACTAAAAGAAAAAAGGCTATTTCAAAACAAACAAACAAGTATTCACTTTAGAAAGCACGAAACTCTGGAAGTGATCTTAATGCAAATCTCAGGCAAATCTGCATTTTGCTGAAGCAAGAAGTTTGGGATTAGGCCACATATGAAAGTAGCTCCCAGTTCTTCATTATGTGTAGTTCTACTTAAGACATCAAGATGCCGAAAAATCTCGGAATGAAAAGTTATTAACTGGCTTACTATAAAGGAAAAAAGTTGAAAGAAAAATGGACAGCATAATCTCTGATTTAAATTTGTCTGAGGAAATGAAGATCCTTAAGCTAGTAAATACAACACTTGAATTGTTTGCAAATAGGTTTAATCACCTAATTGCCAAGTACAAGGAAAATCTATGCTCTATCAGGACCCAGCACAGCTAATTACAAGAAGGCAAAATAAAGATTTTTATCAAACTGTGTGTGTGTTCTTCCACTATTATATCTATCAATATTTATGCCACTTACAGCCCTTTCTGGGTGGTTGCTGCATACAGTTTGTGTGCAGTCAAGAAGCCTCCTGACTGAAAACGTGCTTTTAACAAGAAAAGTTGGCCCGAACCCTGCATTTCCAATTCAAGCAGTGGATTCCGAAGCCTGTTAACTCCCTGGAGCAGCTGATAGTTAAAGACTTATTTCCGCTTTTCTAACAATTTCCTGGTTTGCATAACAATCCTAAGAGAAACACACTCAAGAAGTTTTCCAGCACAGAGAAATTTCGTCTCCAACGTACTTTGAGTTTCAAGGCACAGAATATATTTGTATATAATTACAATAACTTCAGGGATATATTTCTTTACAAATATATTTACATATAAATATGTATCAGCTACTTGTTTTAAAACAAGATTATTTGCCATATCCAGGAAATACAAAACACTGGTTTATGCCTGGCGCTTAACTCATGCCATTGTGAATAAAAAGGGGGGAGGGAAGGGGTTTAATGTTTAATTTCCTGTTAAAAACACACACAGGATAAAATCTTCCAAAGAGCAGTTATAAAACATGCATTTGTAAGCCAAGAAACTAGGTAAATATGGAACGAAGCCCAGGCTCACTTTTATTCGTTCCCCCCCTCTCCTAAGAACAAAGTAACTGAAGGCCACGGGGCGTACTTGGAGGCAGCGAGCTCTCCTCAGCACTTGGATAATTAGTCAGCCTGCCCGATTTCTGTACCGTGTAACCAATCTGGTGGGGTAGTTCCTCAGGTATTGCAGTGATGCAACACAGCCCAAAGTACCACCTTTCAATGCATGCCGTGCACCTGCCAAATAAGTACCCATTGCACCATCTCCTGACTGCCTTCCTGACACAGCGAGCTGGCTAAAACACACGTACGGTACACGCTAGCATGTAGCCTGGACCTGTCGAAAGCTGGCTTCTAGCAACATCATATTTGCTATACTGCTACCTTCAGTAGCAGCTGGAGATACTATGGAGAATATTTTTTAGAAGTCACAAGGAGAAATATTATTTTCAGATCCCATTGAAACTCAGGGCTCTATGGCTTGTAACTGTGGCTGGAACCGTGTGTAACAGCTTATTAGATTAGTCTGCAATGCACCACACTGCGACTCCCAGACAAGCACCAAATTTCCATGCAACAATTACAGCCTTTTAACTATCCCACTCCTCTACGTTCAGATACATGAATGACAAAAGTATGGACTGTATGCAGGAGAAACGGAATGTTTATCACATATTTTTCAACAGTACCACTGCATTTTCGGATCTTACAATAAGGATAATCCATCAAATACTTTCTGTCCACTGTGTCAGGGCTAAAGCCACATCCTCAGTGCACACTTTGAGACACAGAACTGGAGAAGAGCTGTGGTACTTCTTGTGACCTGGTGTGATTCACGTTCAAAATCAGATGTAAACAACTCTGTGAGCGTATTCATTTTTTTTGTTTGTTTGTTTTTTGTTTGTTTGTTTTTTGTTTGTTTTTTTTTCTCCCAACAGAGGTTAGTTTTATTGCAGCAGATACAGTTCAAGAGCTTTCTTAGTTTTTGGTAAATTATTCAAATTAACACAGTGTAAGCTTTTTAAGTGGATGTACCTTAAATACTTTCTAGTCTATACATTTAGTTGCATATTTGATGCAGGGAAAGAAAGGCACAGAAATTACATATCTCTAGTGAATTCAACCTGATGACAGGCGTGCTGAGTTTCTTGCAAACTGTATAAAACTGGCTTTCAGACAATAAACTGTTCTGAGTTTATATCTAAAATTTGCACTTACAGCTGTTGTGGGTATTTGTGCTCTTTCTTTAACAAATTAACCACCGTTGACCACTGATTTAATGACAGTTCATCAACGAATCTCATGCTACTGCATGAGTTCAAAATCTTCCTGTTTATTTTCACTGGCTGATAACTGGACTTTGTGCCCTAATCCCATGATTCTCCATGTGAAAAGATAATTGACTAAAAACAGCAGTAGGGAGAACAGGGATAGGGTGGAGAAAATCTGTAGCACAAAATGAGGACTTGCCTTCTCAGTACTATATGTACCCCCAAGCACAGAAATTTCAGAAAAATGGTTACTTTTCTGACCAACAGTCAGAATATATAAGATGTATACCCTTTGCCTCTCTGCATGCTGCTATTGCAGACTGCATGCTAAAGCAAGATTTTTTTTTTCTTCTCAAGTCAGACAAGTTTATGAGTATTTACTGCTAGTAACACCAAGGTATTACAGATTCAAGTGAAGTATTAGTATTCTCTAGTGCAGCAGTGACCTGAGCCTTTAATCCAGATGAATTTAACAGTAGAGTGCATTAGCTCTTCTCATAAAAGATTTGCTTTAATTTTAGTTCTCTCTCCATTTATCTTATGGCTGTGTAATCTTCAGTAGAGGTCAAAGAGATTTCCCCAAAGAAACAGGAGCTGCTTCTTTTTCAGAAGCAAAAAAGCATATTTAAGACAGTTCGCCCTACTTTTAAACATATGCCACAAGACGGTACTCTATACTCTCCTTTCCCTGTACTCTCCTTGTTTCTTTACATGTTTCAAAGCTATTAAACAAGCATGTATGTGCATGCACACACATATACAAATGAAACATGAAATGAAAACACCTACTGAAGGTAGGATACGCAATAACACCAATATGCTGCAAAGACCGAAAGAGTTATTAACATCTTACCATCATCCAGCTCAAGACAGAGATTGTACACAGCCAGTGGCCTTTTAATACGTTGTCCTTGTCTTCTCGATTGCCTTGGTGGGGCATTTGGAGGAGACACTGGCATAGAGATTGGCTCAGGGAAAGTGGCATCAGGCAGGGTTTTGAAAATCTGCAATCAAGAACACAAAGGGTGTTAATTATTTATCACAAAGAGCAACCTGTGTAATGCAACTGTAAACCATTATCAAACAACATTTGTTTTGGATTTCATTCAAAGCAGGCAGGAGCCAAAAATCCATTCCTTCAAGTTTGAGAGTATGCCGTGGGTCTTTAATGAGTGTTTTTAAAATAAATAAATAAATAGATATAAAATGAAAATAAGCAAGAACACTGTCTACACTTTAACCAAGCTGCAAATCAGTTAATCCAAAGACAAAATATGTGCAGCCATGCTTGCCAGCTAGGATGGAGGGAAAGGGGAAAGAGGGAGATGAACCAGCCACCAGGAAGTTTTAGAATTTTAGCTAGGACCTATAATGTTGCCAGAATATCCATGTTAATTTTCAAAATTTATGATATCGCTATAATATCTGCCAGTTAAAAAAAAAAAAAAAAGAAAAAAAAGAAAAAAGAGAAGTCATATTCTTGAAGACAGCAAGGGAAAAATTTTGATGGGAGGGACTTTTAATGAAAGATACCATAGTAACATACCATGTGAGATTTTTCTCAGACAACCATTGTATATTGATTCATATTTGTATTAAATGATGATATTCACAAAGACGCATATAAAAAGGATTGCATTTCTTGTCACCATTTTATCCTTTGAGTCATGGCTATTAGCATATCACCCCTCCATACAAAATACCATGCCAGCTCTCTCTGGATTAACTCGTAACACAAATCTGCTCAAACTGATAGTTTTTTTTAACTGACACATACAAGGCACAATCTAATGATGCTGATTTACTTCAAGAAAATTATCAGTACACCAATGTACAATTTAACAGCAGCCTTTTACAACTGATCATGGCAGATTCATATGAACAAATTAGCTTCGTAATTTTTCATCAAAATCAAACCGGCAGATGAAGAAAAACACAAACAGCACCTGTACAAAAAAAAAAAAAAAAAAAAAAAAAAAAAAAAGCCCTGTGTCTGTAGGGCACCTTACAGCAACACAACATGGTAATATAACAAGACATAATGAAACAGCATGTGGTGCTCTTTTACCCTGCAATTTTACGTAGTCAGGTATCCATGTAGGAAATATTATAAAGAGGGGACTTGTAATGAATCTTCAAAGGAGAAGCTTTTTATGAAGCAGAAATTCATGCAGAAGTTAGAAAGAGATGCCACAGATAACACATTTTTGGATTATTACAGCATATCTCAGCTGCAGCACGAAGCTAAAAGCCAGCCAGGCTACTCTATGCATGAGAAAAATGCCATAATCATCTTGTGGTAAGGCAGTCAAGACATCATGTCAAAATTATAAGACTATACGCTGGCCTGTTAGTCCTGAATATTACACATACAGAAATGAAATGACCCAGGAACCTACATATACACCAGCTTATATCCACTTAATGATCACTTTCATCCTGGCAGGTTGATGACTGTGGTGTACAAAATCATCAGAAACATCATTCTCCATGAGAACTGTGGAAGAAAGATCGTATCGCCCAAAATGGGCAGCAGCAGGCAGGAAGCCTATACATGGTATACAAATGTTCCAGTGGAAATATTACCTTCCTTTCCAGTAGGTGAATGTCACCCTGGAGGAGAAGGGAAAATGAGGAAATCTGAACTTCCCCATCCCAGTTACAAGAAAACTGGCTCCCACTCCTTCACATGCTAATGTACAGGGATTATGAGAGAGCACCAAAATCAAGCAAGGAACTCACTCTACACAAAGTACTTATAAAGGAGAAAGTGCTGTCCCCTGCACAGACACAGCATCTCTCTCAGACAGTGGCAAAGGTCTAATTGTGCTCAGAGTGCTAAAACTATTTTTTTAAACCATGATGCAATATGTAATAATGAAATCTAACATGCACCTACATGGCATTTGGCTAACAGTACCACACTGCCCCCTTATGTGTAAACACAAGGCTAGACTAAGCAGTTTTAGGAATAATATTTGCTTCTGAAAAATCCAAAAGCACCAAAAATTTTAAATGCCATCTTTTTCATGGACTAAATGTTGTGTCTGGACCCTCTGGTAAATAACTCTCCTCCAAGAGGTTGCAGCATGTTGTTTACTATGTCACATTCCCCAGCTGTATTTATTTGTACAGCCTTAACCACGCATCTCCACTGAAATTAATGATGGTAAGAACAAATATTCCCCAGGACTGGTTTGTAAGAGATGAGCTTTCTCATATGCATTTAGGTGACTTGCATAGCTCGCAGTAAATTTCTTTAGCGCCTCTCAGAAATATTTCAATATATTCTAATAAAACTACTAGCATGAGTAACAGAGTCGCAAAAGCAAAACACAATCAAGAAAACCATAAAGGGGATTCTTACTTAACGATAACCAGAGCCAGACATGCAATAGGACAATGAATTGGAGGCAGATAATGAATCCAAGCAAATTTCTAACTGTAAGTCGCTCTGTGATGTGAAAAAATAGTGGGTGGTTTGTTCTGTTTTATATGGGGGGAAAAAAAACCTACACAACAAACAGGAGAAAATAACAAGCAAGCAGTTAAGTTCCTCTTCAGGCAGTACTTCTTCAACACATGCTAACTAACTCCGCAACAGTACTTGTGCCAGACAGTCAGGAGCTCCCCAGAAGAGTCATCCTTCCCCTACCAACAAAATTTAGTGGCACTGAGTCTTCTCTTTCACTGTCAGGAACTTCTCAGAAGATTGATTTTCCTCTTCTCAGAAATGCTTACAATTCCTCGATCTTCACTGAAATGGCCATAGCTAAAAACTGGCTAAAAATATGCATTACCAGCATGTGTCCAGCCGCTCTCTACACTCAGTGAGACCAGGGCAAGGGTACACATGAACTCCATCCTCTCACTCATGCATCCCTTTGAAGCAATGCTATAAGGTCTAGCACTTCTTTGCTTGTGCTCATGTTTAATACGTGTCTCCATAGAGAAGGGATTCCTGAAAGAGGTTAGATATGAACTAGAGAATGCAACTGCTTGACTATCTGCAGAGCAAACTGACCCACGCAGAGCACATTGAGACCCTGAAAGTGTCACTGAAATCACCAAGCAAAATGAGTTGCCCTGTAGGAGTCTAAGACAACAAACAAACAAACAACAGCCCACCACCACCACTAGAAAGATCACTAGGGTTTGGGTTTTTGTTTATTCTTTTAATACACAAAAGAAGCAGGAAACACCCTCACATGTTGCACAAATAAAAAAAGTTTTGGAATCGTTCTTGCTCTTTCAAGCTGCTCATTAACTATTTGGTATTTGGTACTTTCTTTGGTATTTCCTTCTTCTATTTCCATTAGGAAAATAAAATTAAATGCAGCTAAAATTAAATACATCCTGACCTGCATTTTCAGCAGCAGCAATCTCTTTACGTTGCAGGCCAAAGCTACAGCTAAAACCATAGTTTTGCAAAGGTGAGCATCTGAAAAGCAAGTGGAAGGCCAACCTCAGCCCTAAGATATGCATGCACAGTATTCAGCTTCACTTTCGTACTTTCTTTAAGTTTGCTTTGTTTAAACAGACAGGTACTTTTCATCAAACCTAAACAGGTATTTTCTGCTGCTCTGACATTGTAATGTCTCACTGAGAATGGGGGGAATGGACGCATATTTTAGTTCAGTTGCAGGGAGAAATGTTTGGGGTTTGTTTAATTCAATTTTGCTCTTAGCCTTACTGATTTTTCAAATACTGTATAAATGTTTCACAGACTAATACAAGATGCCTACTATGAGAGATCTGTTATCAGAAGTACATTGCCTATGCACAGAAGACAAAATTCAAAATCACATACAAGTAATGGCTTAGAAGAGCACCAACAACTGAACTAGCATTTCAGTACTTTGACTTACTTGCACAACAGTATGGGACCACACCTGACTAAGTTTCAAAATCTATTCTTGCACTGCAAGCTGTGGCTCTCAGATGCATCACAAGGCAACCGCAATAGGGCAGAATCCCTTCTGTGGGAGAACAGGGCTGGAACATGCTATTTAATGGAAGATTTCTTTGCTGCTCCAAATAAAGCCTCCCTTCAAGTGAAAAAAAATCAGACCTACCATCATCACTCATCTGTATTGCAGAAGTTACCACAGCTTACACAAAGACAAGAATGAAGTCTGTTCTTTGAATTACCTCATTCAAGAAGCAATAAAAATGTATTAAACTAGCCTCCAAGGTTAAGGACTTCCCAATCACATACAGCGTTACATAGTTTTTGTGGCTAGGGCCAAACTGCTCTAGATTTATAGAATACTTCTCTACAATTTAGTTCTCAGAAGCATTAGCATTCTGCTCTTCATCTACTTGAGGGCAAACCTGGATGCTAAGTGAAACAATTTACATATGGGAGAACACTGACACGTAGCGCTCAAAATGCACAGAAAACAGACCAAAAATTTTATCAAACAACAAACCTGTTAGTCATTCCTATCCCAGTTCATTCACTATTTTAAATGGTTGTCTAGGTTTGGTTGTATATGAAAGTAGAATTTAAAGATGCACACTGAGTTAAGTGGTGGATCAGTCTCCAAGCCTGCAGTGCAAAAGCTACAACAACAAAAAAAAAGATGAAACTCTTGTTGAGCTACTTAAAACAGCGTCATGTTTGACCTATTTCTCTCTATGCAATAGTACGGAACAGATACTTTATAGGGCTAAACAAACCACAAACCATCTTGGATATGTACCGCTAATAACAGCCCTCTCTACAACAGTGAGCCCAAGACCATCCCTACACACAACCATTCCAGTTCCTAAACCGGTGTCCCACAAAGTCTCTGGAAGCATTTCTTGAGAGTAATGAGCCAAATTCAACATATTATCATACTGTATTCTACCAGCAGATCCATATGGCAGCAGCCCAAGGAATTTTGCCAGATTCCACTTAATCTGCAAAAACAGTGTTGGCCTCTAGATCCTGAGCTCTTGCTAGAGCTGATTTTAGAAATTCAAAAAACCCATCACTAGGAGTATTTAACTAAGCCTATTCCACAATTTTATAACTAAATGTATAGTTGTACATGGAAATGCAGATTAGATTCTACTGCTACAAGAGGATACTGATCTGTTCATTCTGGTCTCAAGCAGAACTAATTAATGAATATCAGTATGTTTGCCAGGAATCACTTTAGGAAAAGACCCAGACATCAGGTCATCTCTGTCTGCTTTGTATCACTGGGGTAATTAAAATTTCTTCTAAAAATCAGTGGGAGGCAAAAGCAAGGACAGAGTGGGATGAAAAAGAGGGGGGAAAAACTGAAGGCTTAGTAATAGAGCTAATGAGGATAAAATTATAAAAACCATTAACAGCTTAAAGCTGTGCCATAATTCTGTTGCAAGACAAACCCCTCATTCACTCTCATAACACCTACTACACAGAAGATGCATCTATTTTCTTTGGATACACAAACAAGAACTGGAGTACCAGAAGTTGTTGTCTAATGCAAAAGGAGGCTAGAACATGCAAGGTTACTTTGAATTCTTTGAAATTCAGCTCCGGGTATAGCCTCCTCTACGACAATCATATTTTTAGAGTAAAGTATTTCTCAAGACAAAAAGAAAACCAGTACAAGATTTTATCTGGGTAATTTCCCTTCAGCACTTGATTTGCAGTTGGTAAATAAAAGAAACATACACAGACACTTCAACTGATGTTTATTGAACAATATAAAATGCCATCTACCCAGGCCACATATACTCCTCTACCCTCGTACATTTTATGGCTATTGTACTCCTTGTATTTCCATTATAATTGTCTACAATATATGTCAATCTATTCTATAAATTAGCAGCTATTGGGATACAGCAAGAGAAACATCACCACCATGGCCTTTTCTTGACTTAGCTTCTTTTCAATGTAATGTAGACTCAATTCAGGTTTGATCCACCAACCTGTAAAAAATATATACATATTTATATTTATATCAGAGACAAAAGTGCTCAAGAAAGAGGAAAACCGTTTTAGTTATTCACAATGTGCTCTTACCTTGATACAGTTCCCATGCATTTTTTCCTCTTACAATAATGAAGACAGTCATTGTGCCATTCTTTTTGCCATTTTCTGCAAACATAAAGTAACATTTTTTATGTTAAGTTATAATTTTACTGCAGATAGAAGCATTTCAGGATATGCAAGGTGAAAATAAGCATCTTAAAATATTGTCATAAAAAAGGGCAACTCATCCACTAATATTCTAATTTTTAATCCATTAAATCCAATTCTGTGAGATTTACAGCTCCAGATTTATTTTTTTTTAATTTGAAGGGATTGCAGAAGGTAACAGGAGCTACTAAAATTAAAAGCTCAATCATAACAGCAATTACAAAAGATTAACTTCTGGAAAGACAGAAGTTGTATTTCTAAACAGATTGCATCAATTCTAACAGTTTAATAAAATTTCTAAAATTAAACATTATTGAAAACTTTTTTTTTTAATATAAAATGTGGTTTCTTTCTTTTTGCATTTAAATTTATTAAAGACTGTATTAGATCAACCTGTTTCATTCCTGGTTTTAGTCAACATGATCCATTTATTGTTTTCAAACACAATTCAATGAAATATAAAAACATTTGCACTAGAAATTATTGACATTTACATAGAATTTGTGTTCAGTACACATAATGTGAAGCTCATTATTTCTCCACATTATATTAAATATTTTTGAAAATACAAAATTCAATAAAAATTATCAACAACTTAGAATCTCTAAGTCACTTACCTTTCCAAGTGTGTCCACTTCAATACGGATGTGCCTGCCTTGAAGTAGTTATCCCAACTTTGGTACTTCAGCAGCCGTATGCTATAAAATACGATTTGCTGCACACTGGCCTCTGTGAGACTGCATAGGATGCAAATTTTCTGAAGCTTTGGATTTTGAGGCTTGAATTCCACTACAAACCACAAACACCTTTATACAATATTCACTAACATCATATTTGAAAAAAATATAAACTCAGCTTAAGAGTTGAGAGATGCCTGAAGCTAAACCTCTAGAGGGCCACCACCCAGAAAGCATCCATAGTACTCTTGATGTTGCCTGGCACACTCTATTTAGCTACAGTGCAACAGAGTGTGCAGCTTGAAAACAACCCTAGTAGAAGTCAAAACTAGAAACAGGAAACACCCTTGGTTGAGAGCCAACAGTCAACCCACAAAGCTCTAAAATAAATAAATAAACAAACAAATCCAAGACCGCCTTTTCTTCACTGCAAAGACACCATTTGCAGAGACAATCTGCCTAGCAGCCTGACTACCCATAACTGAACGAAACACTGCTTTTAGGGATTTGTGGACACTGAGTCCCAGTATTGTAATCAAATAATGTACTGCCAATTTTAATGCAAAAGGATTAGGTTTAGTGCTCCAGACAAACTATTAGAGTGATGGTAGAACTGAGGGGAATTTCAGACAAACCTGAAGTATATGTAGACTCTAACAGACACTCATTTGGCCTGACTACCTTGAACCCTGTAGTTCACATTGGAGCTTTAATGAAGAAACTAAACATAGCCTGTAAAACATGACATTGCAGTCTGGAGGACAACTGTGGAAGGATGAAAGGAAAAAAAAAAAAAAAAGAACATACCAAGGTTAGAAACATGTGTCCTTTGATCGCTTGCAAATTATGAGTTTGTTGATTCAGCCTTTCTAAAAGTAGCACTCCTGATACAAAGCCTGCAGCTTCCACTGTATCACGTCTCGCTCCCCTTTTAACAATTCACGAGAAGAACGCTCCTGATAGCAGCCCATTCACTGCTGTGAATTGCATTCACAAGCAATCCATTTTATTCATTGGAGGAAATGAGAGAGTTAACAATACACCAGGCTTGAAACACCTACACATTTATCCACTGCACCAGCAGAAACAGCATATTCACCTTCTTTTCTGTGCTCACCTATTGTAACTCACACCAAGGAGAGTATTTTAAAAAAGGTTGCCCTTCCGTATTACAGCTATGCATATTAGCTTTGCCTATCTTGTTTAGTTACAGGAAATACTTAAAAGAACAACAACAGAAAAAGCCTTTAAATTGAAAGATTAAATACTCGATCCAATTACCCAGCTTTCTAAAACATAACATAATCTTAGTTACTAAATGAAAAATAATGCAGAATGAGAATATTTGCATGTATTTGCTCTTATGAAAAGCATGAGAAGCCCTGTGAGGTTAAAAGGCAGCATTTACGAATGTAAGCCAAGAGCCAGCAAAAGCAACAAATACGGCCAAACACACAAACCTGATCTCCCCTCTATTTGTAATGAATAAATACATACACATGCTTACAAATACAAATAAATATATGTGGTAAAATCTGTTTTTCTCCAAATTTTATACACCACAATATGAATAATTATAAAACCCTGTATTTGACACCCTACTATAATGTCATTGTACAAAGCATCAGAATGAAATGTCAAGATCTTTGGAGATGACACTGTTCCAACTGTCCCACACAGCCAGTATTTTCTTCTCTGATAATTTCCATGTTGCCATTACAAGGATTTATATCACCCTTATGTTGTACAGTGTTTTCTGGTCTTTGTTTTTGTTAAAATCCATTTCTTATCTTACATTATGACTATAAGGTCTTTGAAGGCAAAGAATATATTCTTTGTTTGTATGTCCAGCATCCACTGCAATGAAGTACTGATGCCTCATTAGTGTAAATAGCATACACACAAAAATACTAGGAATAAACACTTATCAGCTGACTGTCACATCTTGTTTATTCAAAAATTCATTAAATGGACTGAAATACACTAACCCCTTTAGTAGGGCAAAAGCTTACTGGAATTCTGAAGAGTACATACAGAAACACAAGCACATACTGCACGATTACCCAGTGCTCTGTCATTAGCAATGATCAGGCAGCATGCCATTCAGATCGGTTTACCCAATTTAAAGGGGAAAAAAATTGTCAATTCAGTGGTTCACTTACCATTGAAAACTGTAATACAGTATATTTCTTAGGTCACGTATAAGAATTTACTCTTTAAACTCTTCAGGAGTGCAACAACTTTTCCCCTCTCAATAGCCCTGGAGTTTTCATAGATTATTTTTTGTATCAAAATTTTACTTAAGAGCACCCATTCTAGCATTCTCCATAAGGCTTTCTCCTTTGAATCCCCCCTCCACACATGCAAGTACAGGATCCTGAGCGTCTAGACTGAAGTAAATGTTAGCCAGCTGAATTCCACTCTCTTATCATCACTTCTATTTACTTACTTACAAAGCACTGTCTGTGGAGCAGTGGAAGATGAGGACTGCATCACTCAGAAATTTGGTATGAATTTGAATGAAGTTTCTTCATATTAACTGGAGATAATACAGGCCCATCAAGAAGACAGAAGTGTATATCCGTATTACTTGTAAGGTGCCACATATTTGTAGTGAAACACCTCAGCAGGCTATTTTCAATCCCTGTAAGAATGACTTTTGTTTTGATTTTCTTTTTTAATCTGTTTACTCACAGTGTGTTTTGTGTCTTTTGGAGCAGTCTAATGCATTTGGAGCATACCAATTCAGGTATTGATCCAGACTCTTTAATGTCATCAACTATAGTCACACATACAAATGGAGACTTCATATACAATCTTCTCACAGTATGCACAAACTACATTAAGACTTTGAAAACAGCAGTCTTTAAAAAAAAAAAGGATTTACAGTCAATTAAAACATAACATGTGGATTTCATATGGAAGTGCTTTCTACTATCCACAGAGCAGAGAAACAGTTTGAAGAGTTTGCACACGCTATAGTGAAATGAAAGAGCTGCTGTGACTTCCACCAGAAAACATTAAGTTCTTTGTTGTGCTTGCTGCTCTTTCTGGTTTAGACCCAGCCAATTACTAAAGGATGTTCTTTAAGTACAGGAATAGTTTCAATGACACTTCTGATTAGTTATGCTCTTTAAGTTATGCACATACTGAATACCCTCCTTAAGTGAAGCTCATGTTTCCTTGCAAATTCTACTTTACTGGAGATGACTTACTGTATTTTTTTTCCCTAAGTCAAACATTTGTTGATTTGAAAAACATTCAGCTTGAGTAGGTTTTCAAATTTCTGCACCACAGCAAACCACCACAATTACAATGCATTGCTTCTTGTTCTCCCTTTCCAGCCAAAGACAAAGCAACACAAAATATGAAACAAGTCTCCTCTAGTATTTCTCTTATGTCCCTTTACCATCACTTCAACAGATCTGCTGTGTTGTCAAAAATAGTCTTAGTTCAGAGGCTGGCAGTGTCACTATGACCCTACAGGCTCTAAAGCACTTACTTGCTGAGAATTGCTTTAAACATGCACATGGCCACACCTCAGTGCTACTTTATGCTTTAAAATGAACATCTGACTTCACCTGTTTCTATTTGTCCCATTGCATGAACACTGCAGGTATTATACACTGTGATATGTTTTAAGACTAAGGATTTTCCAGGTGTTACTACACGAAGTTGATGTTGGCTTAAGAGCTCAGTATTATTAATTTTTTCTCTTTCATTTAGTTTAATAAAAAATATAAATGGGCCTACATTTTTTTTAAAAAAAGTGCTTCATAGAAAAATGCTTGTCATATAACTGTTTTAAACAAAACATATAGCTAAAACAAATATGTATTTTGTCTAATATATGTAAAATTTTTGCCCCTTTTAAGTAGACAAATACAGAAAACAAGTGAAAACAGAATCTACCCTTTGTACAGGAGACATTGAATTTTTCAGAATTAACATCGTCTGAGCTAACTTTACCTATAAGTTGCCAACTTTTTTTTTTTAAAAAAAAGGTATGTTTTGCCATGCCCAGTCCCTTTCACAATACTCTGGCTTCCCAGACTCTTTCCGTCTGGCCCCTCTCTTTTCTTTTCTAATTTACTTCCACTGTAATTTTCAACTTCTTTCTGTTTTTGCAGTCTTGCTATTTGTACTCACTATTCTTTCTTCCCCCATATGCTGGTTTACATATTCTAGTCCCACTGAGATTTTTATTCCAACCTCCTCACTCATCTTCTTTCATTTCATAGCCTTCTTTTTTTATCCTGTGTTGTTGGTTTTTTTTCCTCTTCAAACAATGTTCAGGCAATTAAGAAACCAAAATGGCTCATATTACCACTGAGGCATCTCTCAATGGCAAATAAATAACCCCTTTGAATTGTGGCATTTGTTCCGATGGGATACCAAAACATTATCACGAACAGCAAGAACATGTGCATGCTATTCAGGAATTCTTGGAGTGTACTGCCATTCTTCCTCCATGCAAGTCACAAAACAAGACTAGAAGAGCTGAGATGACCAAGATATCTAGTCTGTTAAACCCTTGGGAAGAAAAACTAATTTACACCTCTGAAATTCATTTAGGAGAAGAGAGGAAGAGAAAGGAAAATCTGGGTTTTGTTCCAAACTGACTATCGCTATTCATCGCAGGATTACTTAAAGGCCAAGCATTGCACAAACACAGCTGTAGCCATCCCCCGAGTTCATCATCTCAGAAAGTGAATACTAAGGGAAGGTTTAGCTTCAAAGCAAAATGAACATGATCACTAGATACCAACATGAATTTATTGATTCATTTTTGGTGAAGGGAAGGACATGGGTCACAGAAACCAAAGGAGACAAGGTATGGCAAGGGAGAAGGGACAAGACAGCCGCGTATGAAATGACACTGACATTAAGGGCCTGAAAAACAAAGAAGAACAAGAGTGCATGCAGCCACTCAGCAAAAACATCACAATTCGAAGTGAAACTACAGTCCATTGAATATTAAAGCTGAATATGTTCCTACTTTGCCTGGAGTATCTGGCTGGCCTTTCCCTACAGCCATAGTGCAGTAGCAAGCAAGATAATTCACAGGTCTTATTTTTCTCTAGACTGGCCTCTCTTCCACTACTGGTGGTTCTGAGAAAAGATCTCAGATTGGATCTAGATTTTGCTTCTTTCTTTCAGTAGAGATCTGCTTCTACAACTTATCTTCTGCTTGGAGACTGAGAAATACTCTGACTAGAAGAGACTTATCCATAACTGTCAAGAATAAGATCTGAACAATTATTTCCTTACTGCTCTTCTGTCCTCCATCTAGTCTCAACGACTGCACGGTCCTAGTGCCAGTTAAGTAACACAACAGGCTGCACAGTCTAGTGGCCAGCATTCAAGTCTCAGCTTTGGTTTGATTTTGCCTAACATCCCCTCCTCAACCTACCATGACTGGTTCACAGCCATGGCTTGGAAGTATGTCTGCAGCTTTTAAACAAAGTAAAAATGTGACTGATTGGTTTCTGGCTAGTACGAAATAAATGTACTTATCAATAAAGTATATAAAATAAAAAAAGCGGCTTATGCACTAAGATATTCTCATCTCAGGGCAAGTCCCCATCTCCAGGTTTCCATATATAAATTGAATAGAAATTCTCTAATCACTCAGCAGAGTGATGATAGTGGAATGACTGCACCAGGATTTCAAAGCTAGTAACAGTTGGCTACGGATCCTCCCAAAAATGAATCATAGATCTCCTTCAGTAAAGCTGTCCACAGAGCAAGACAAAATGAACATTGATAGAACTTAAAAATGTTTGAGGAATCGTAACCATTTTAACCACTTGGCTTAACAAGTTACTGTATTTAAACTGGAATTACAATAGCTATTGCTTCTACAGTCTGGAATTTTGTTAACCTTTTCATTTGCTACAGGGGGAAAGAGATGCCTCTCTGCAGTCTGTCAGGGCTGTAAATTACAAAGGGATGAAGTGTTGCTTCAGGTTTCTGTCAGCGTGCCTCCATCTTGACTCCACCGCACTTCTGTAATTCCAGACTTAGCATATATTAGCAGAAGTAGCTAAAAGTTAGCAGAGGCAGAGTAGTGGTTGATGAAATATTTGAAAGCTTTTAACCTACAGCTGCTGACTTCTCCTAGGACTTCACTAGGGCTATAAATAAAATAATTAATAATCATAATAATAATCATAAACCCAACTTTCGCAAGACTCTTAGAAAGTCTGAAATGCAGGGAATTCAGAATAATTTAAAATGAACAATAGATTGACAAGAAGCCTATCTGCCATTAACAGTAGGTCCTGGGTCTGCCATAAAAGAAGGTTCACTTATAAGAGCAACATATTCAAATTGACCAAACATTTTTGTCATGCCTTAAAACACGTCTCTCTTTTGTCTTTGCTATAAATACACAGAGGTCACACTTTGGGCTTCCTTCCCTCTTGGAAGCAGCTCTAGTGTGGAAGAGAAGTTGCTGTAGGCAGACCACTGATGGCAAGTTCGCTGTTAGAAATAACAGTGAAAAGATAGAAATCCCTTTAAAAAAATTATAGCCTTCCAGTTCTAAAGAAGGCATAAAAACAAGGAATTATGGAAAATGATGCAGTATCTTTTTTATGTATTTTCCATTCCCTGCTTCTCCACATTTTCAGAGGAGCAAGTAAGGTGAGTACAACCAATGTTTCAAATGTGAAATTGATGTTCAGTTTCTAAGGGCATGTGAACGAGCAGGCAAAACAATGAGCTGGTGCTAATATGTGGTGATCTAGTGATTTTATTGGGCAGAACTAAACCCAGCCTCCATATGCCATTACAAACACCTTGGCTCTGCTCACTCTATTGACTTTTTCTTAATTTGTGTGGTCACTATAATAGCTACAAAATCATGGCCTTACTGCACTGTTTACCTTCACTTATAAGGTAAAAAATGGCTTTACACCTCTTGGAATATTTATTTCTTAGGACTTGAGCCACATCTGCTGCACAATAATTTCCCAGTGGAACAATACTGTATCTGCTCAAGGTGTATGTGGGGGCAGCATCACACCCTAAGTCAACTAAGCCAACAAAACACGCCATGTAGATAAAGCTATGCCAAAAGAAGTTTTGCCTAGCCTGTGTTATTCAGGGAGGTGGCAAAATTGCATTTAAGAAAAACTTGTGACAGAAATTATTTAAAGTAGATAAGACTCAACTTAGATAGCCAATTTCAACACTGTTAACCTTTAAAAGAAATAACTATTTCACTGCTCACAGAGCTTAAGAAGTAAGAGGGGAAAAAGCACATGCTGAAATTTTTCCAAAGCACTTTTTTTTTTTTTTTTTGAAAATAAGAGAAAGGTGGATACTGCCCATCCTCCCAGCACAAGCAGCGCATCTCAAACACCCAGTTCCAAAAGTTAACTTAGTCACAAGGGACTCCCAAAGAAAAACCCAAGCAAAGGGACACTGGTAAAAGATTTATTTATCTATTACAAATTCCAGGGCCCAGACTGCGTGCAGTGCAAGCAGATATTCTGGACAGTTATCTTGTATGGGTATGGTGCCTTAGTAACCAGCAGCTGCCACAACAACAGCAACTTCCATTTGCAGTATTACCTCAAACGCAAAGGCTTAAAATAACACACATTCAGCTGAAAATGAATGAAATGTTAATACCTGGCTCTCTCATAATGCTTTTTAAAACCCACAAAATTCAGAGTACAGTAAAATCTTTTTTTTTTTCTTCTTGTTTTTTTTAAACCATGTAAACTCTGAGAAAAAATACGACAGAACAATTAATACAGTGAAACCTTAGTCAGAATACTTAAAGAGCTAAAACTGGGCCTGGGCTTTTTCTTTTCCAGTTTTGTATCACTTCTGCTCACAAAAAAGGCATATACAAATATCATAACGAAAATCTATTTGCATACTATACACACAGAAGCACAGCTACCACGAGGAAATATGCATCCTGAAATGTCAGTTCACCTATGAACCAGGATATTTATTGAGTATAAATAGGCAAAAGTGTACAGCGTACAGAGGATATTCTTTTGAGTTAAGTTGTAATGTCACATTTAACCCCATGCTACCCATTAAGCAGAACATTTGAAACAATACTCAAGAAACATGGAGATGCTTCAAAACTTACCTTTTCATGATTTTCTATAAGGATTTCAACAACTATGTTCTGAAACTTCAGGTCCATGATGGCTGCTACAGTTTCTTCCTGTGGCCTCATTAAGGTTGGTCCAAATACTACCCCTAAATTTGCTACCGTCATTAGATTCCTCTTGGCATGCTTTGAAACACTATTTGAAAAGAATTGAAGGAAAAAACAGGAAATAGGTTATGAAAATTTTCCATTACTGTTGGAAACTGCAGTCTACTTTACAAATGAAAACATTACATTTCCTTAATCCATGTTCTAGAAGTTCTTTTTATGTAAAGTTTCTTCAAATAAAGTCATACTGAATTGTGGAAAACAGAAAACCCATTCTTCCACTGACAATTTAAAAACAAAAGCTGTCTCTTTCTGAACTTAAATATATAAAATGCACTTAGCCTTGGACCCAGGCAAGTGTGAAACCAACTTAAATTTGCTAACAGATCTCCACTATTCACTTTGCCAGAATTTGTGAAAAGAAAGTATAACGTTCACCTTCTCACTTCAATCAAACCCTCAACTGCTGGCAAGACTGCTAAAGTAAATACTTATATGGCTTCATTAACAGATTAGATTTCTGCCTTTACCTCCAAAACATACACAGCATGAGTCAAACGCCTTGTCTGCTTTTGCACATTTGCTGCTTTGTATTGTGTATGACAGCATCAAGATGGGCTTCAGCTCCAGGCATGGTAACCAGGCTATTTGTAGTAAAACAAAGGTAAGGACAAGGGTTCTGACAAGGCAGGAAAGCAGGTAACAGCACTTACTTTGCTAAATGTTTCACCAAAATGTCCAGCATCTCTTTGTTCTTTTCTGGGAGCTTATGGACCAAGAAGTGAACGGCATTAACTCGAGATTCAGGACTTCCACTTTCTACGGGACATAGAAACAAATAAGCATCTCATTAAAGAAAATAATAATCCACAGAAACATAAAACTTCTTCCAACTCTGCATAGAAACATACTGCATATACTTCGCTTGAATGATTACATGTCTCCAAACAGCAACAGTGAACACATGCTTTGTTTTCACAAATAGTCTTGTTCCAGGATTATTATTTTATTTACTTATTTTGTGAACCAATCTTTCAATCCACCTGCAAAAGTATGCCTTTGTTGCTCTATACGTAAAAATTGTCAGATTCTAGTTCTTGTTTTGCTGCCTCAGACTCATCTGCTTTCAAATATGCTGTGAAGTGAGGAGTGTTGTTTCTGGGTGCCACTTTCTCTTTGCAAAAACCTGAAGTGCAATTTTACTACTTTACACGTTACCATTATTAACAGATTGTCCTCGTCACTAGAATTCAATTTTGTTGGTACTATGCAGCTAATAATACTGCATCTATGCTACCTTGCATTAGAGACTGCATAAAACAACACTTGCTGAAGATTAATCTGCTCAGAAAGACAAAAACTAATGATCCCTGAAGACAAAGAAGAATAATGATGCAAAAAAAAAAAAAAAATCCTGAGTGAGATTACTATGATAAAGGGTCCCGAATAACAATGCCATCCCACTCTAGCACAGCACAGAGAGAGTAACAATAAGCAAGGGCCTTTTTATGTTTCTGTGTTGAATTCAATAACTTTGCCCCCATATGTTTCACTAGCACACAAATTCTTGAAAACAAGAATTTGTAAAAGGTGGAAATAAACCACATTCCTACTTGTCAAGGTTATATTAAACCACAAAACTACATAGTGGCTTATAGTGAGAGGAGTGGAAGCATTTATCTTGTATATAACATACTTAGTACAAGTTAAATAAACAGAAAAAAAAAGAATCTACCATGAATGCAAGGTTTTGACACTGTGACTGCTCATCAGGTCCCATTTTACTCCAAGGCAACTTTGATTGTTAAGTGTATTTCATAAAATACCCACCTTATTTCTTTCAGCGCATATTCCTACAGATTATTTTTTATTATTGTTATTATTCTTTGCACATTGATACACATTTTAGGGTCACTTTTTTTTATTCTTTTGCAGTGAACACCTCTGCATAAATTGCAAGATAAAAAAGTTACCAAAACACAAAATGTTTAGCTCCTCGTCAGCTAATCAAAATTAGGACAGTCATAAAAACTTTAGGCTTCTTTAAAACAAGAATACTTCACAAATATGTGAAAACACAAGCCCTAATTAGAGGATGGCTAAGCAACTTAATCTAATTACTATCTACTGTGATCTGTATCACAGTAAAAGAAAATTGAAAGGAGAATTTTTTGTTTTGATTTTAAAACATATATATATATATATAATATAAAATAGTTTCAGAGAAAAGGATATTCCTTACTATTCCTGGCATTGTTTTTTTTATAGCCTACATAGGAAACAACAGTGCATACCTATTTTTAAGTATACCGTAACTCAGATCTGAAATGTTGATTAAATTTTCCTCCCCGTTACATAAAATCAGCGTCTCAACAAAATTGTTTATTACTTATGAACACTGTACTATTTAAAACATGTAATTCTAATAATTTCTTTTACAAAGGAGACTATAAAATAGAGAAGGGAAAATGCTGTGAGAAACTGATGGCAAAACTTCACTGATCAAAAAAAATATTTTAACATTTTAACAAGTGGGCAGACTCACCATCTAGGTAATAAAATCTTGAATTTTGTTTAAGCACTTGGCTTCTGAAATGTGTTTTGGCAATGAATTTCATGGGCTAATTCTCATTATGAATTAAGGGCCACAAGCGAATATATTCTGCAGTCCTGAAAAGTCATTACAGCAAACCAAAAAAGATAAAGCAATTGTCTCAAAGTTTATATTAATTTTGCTTTCCACAGTTTGCCAGAAGTGCTACAGGCTGGAAAGAAAATCAGCTAAATATCTGTTTGATACTTTGCCAAAGGTTTCTTATACTCTTTCTGTCCTCTTCCAAAAAATTCCATGTACATTAGATACCATACAGCTGAACTACAAATGCTGTTCTGCCTTTTCCAAGTCTGTGTTTGAACTGCCATCGTGTAATCTGGCCTGTTCATTCCTTTCTTCAACTAATATATGAGGGGAACATTTGAGGCAGCCTGGATACAGACTAACAAGGCACTGAAAACAAGGGTCAGGCAATTATACTTTCAGGATTTAAATGAGCCCAAGTTGACATATTTTCTTTTACTAAGCTTCTACTCTATAAATGGAAGAAAAAACATCTCGGTCCAAGTAGAATTTTATCATTATACAATTAAGGTAATAAGAATGAAATGTTTAGAATGCATAACCAAAAGCTTTGGCATAGAAGTGAAAATCATGCTATGCTATGTCTGTCACAAACTTGTCCTTCAATAGTCACATCACTTGTGACACGTACTAAAACTGAACACAGGTTAAAACTTCTGTATTCTTAAAACCTTTATTATTTTTATTCCTATATTTTTACTGGGTTGAAGAATTTTTCTGAAACTGTATTTACTGCATGCTCCTAAGGCCACAACTATAAGAAAATATTTCTATTTGAACTACTGTCAAATATTTACTGGCAGGAATGATGAATTCTCCATGCAACTCATACGTCATCAGTGGCTCTGGAAGGCTTCTGTAAAACAAGGATGACATAATAAGTTTATCCATATTCCTTCCATCTGTATTTATTCTAAGAAGGATTTTTTTTTTAAACATTCAGTAGCATAGTCCTTGTATGGGAGGAAAGCATTGTTATGGTAGCCCTTGATTTTAATGACTTTCAGTACAAATTGAAAACTAGGAAATCAGGAAAAACTGAGGAAAATAAGACTAAATACATCCATTCATACTCCATGAACTGAAGCGATGCCTCCAATCTATCATAAGCACCTTTCCAAATTACAACACCGAGACCATTTTACAGCTGAATATTGTAACATGCATACTATGTAATTCAACCTTCCTAAGGGTTTTTAAAATACAGAGGCAAAGCCAATGCCTTGTAAAGAAATAAAGACCATACAGTTAAGTTGCTGAACAGCAACCATCCACAAATCAAACTTCTAAAGCATTTCAAATGGAAAAATTGAAAACCTTAGTCATCGGTGAAAAAGGTACCAAATAACGCAAACCAGAGTTAAAACATCAGAGTTAAAACCTTCTGTTTATTAAGCTGACTCCATGACTGATGCTCACAGAATACCAGAATAAGCACTGAGATGGGAAATACTGTAAGCAGGAAATATTTAATCTAGTGCACACTATTTTTATTCTTTCTTACATTACCTATGACTTTTATCTTCAAAAAAAATTCTTCAGCATTCTTTGATACGGTTTAAATAATAGTAAGAGATTAAAAATACTGTATTTGTGATATGCTATAAGAGATACAGGAAAGTTCTATGTTCTTAGGCAATTAAGTAAAGTATCTCGATCAGGAATCAGCCAAGTCATTTGAACATCTAAGATTCCTACTTTTCACACTCAGAATATTATTACTGTTTCACTAGAATATCAGGAACACCAGTCAGAAGAAAAAGAGGAAGACATTAAAGAATTCATAACCTTTCCCCTTTTCATTCTACCACGTTAAAACACAAAAAGGCAGAAAACTCCTGTAATAATCTCAGCTGACTCAGCTGACAGTAATGACTCTTAGCAAGTTTACCAACAGTTCAGATCTCCAAACCATCAGAGGAGTGCTTATGTATCTAACACAAAATTGTTTTGGGGCTTGTCTCACATGACCACAAGTATTAGTTTTGCTAAATTATTTTGCTTACCCCAAGAAAAATAACAAACATGACATTTGCACAAAATACACCTCTGTTCATACAAGGAAACATAATATAGTCTATGTTATTTGCTTTTCTTACACATAGCATGTGAGAATTAAAATACAAAATTCACAGTCTCAAAAAAATAAATGAGAGAGAGGCTTACCGCAGATACTGCTTCATAGCACTAGTAATTGTCTTCACTTCCCAATCTACAGAGTTTTCCAGATCAACTTCGTTGCAGGTTTTTGCATCTACAAAATAATCAGGAAGTGAAGAGGGGTGTGAAAAAGGTGATTCTAAATCAGTATTCCCTATATGAACTGGAACACATTAGATTTGATTATGCATTTGCTCACATGAATGTGGAAGCAGTATGTCCTTTTTACCATTAATTAATACTAACAAGACTTAATATCCAAACCTCTTTATAAATTCTACTAATGTATTTTATTATAGAAAGCACTTTACTGATTATTTTTTCTTTAATGAAGGATTAAAAATCACTTTCACGTGAAATGATCTCTATAGCAATTGCTATTTTCACACCTTTAATTAAACTGAAAGATGTACACAAACACAAAAAGATGTACATAAACAGTTTAGAAAAAAGACCTAGTAAGGATAACTTATCATTTTCATTATTTAAAACACAAATACACTGAGAAATCTTTTCTAATCTTTTTCATAGTTTTCTGTATAAACAGTTATTTTGGGCTGCTGACAAAAATAGCCAACTGCAATGTGACTGACTGCCTTTACTATGTGAAAACCTTTAAAAGGTGCTCCAAAAGTAGAAAAAGGACTGTTCTCTACTAGTAAGTTTTCTCTACAAGATGGCTTTAATGTCTCCCTTACTTGATCAGTTTTAGCCAAGGGGAAAAATATTTTCTTGCTTGACAATTTGTTCATTTTCTCAAAGCTCCTCCCACCTTTTAGCCAGCTACTTGGTAAAGTCTCATAACATGAAATGCCGTATGCCTGAATGATCAATCAGCTGAAGATTTTTTGACAAAACATTGGAAATAGGACAGCACAATGAAATGTTTTGCAACTAAAAAAAAGTTATGTCTCAAAACAAGAAGCAATAGCTATTTGACAGTTGAGAAGATCACATGTATGTGGCCAAATTAGCTCAATGTATTTTGTACCTTCAAGTACTTGAGCTTTATTACTATTTTATGTTCCTGTCGGTCGCAACAGTAAACTGCAACAACAGTGAGTGACACAGATTACATGTTGAACCATTCATACAACTCAGAATTCATTTGTTATTTTGCTTGTCAGACAAACAACAGACACATTTAAAAAATCAAATTAGGATCCCTGATTAAAGGTACAGTCCTTTTACTGGGACTAAATAATACTGTTCCAAAGGCTGTGCCAAGCAATTATTTCTGTAACTGAATATTCTCCCTCATTATATCAATTATTTAAATCCCATTTTAAAATACAAGTCAGGTTACATTTTCAACCAAAATTGTTAGTAGTCAACCACCACCCAAAATCCTCAAGTCTGTTTCAGGAAAACATTTATATTTTTCTTCTTTTTAGCATGCTAGTTTCTTCTGCTTTCAAATCTCTTTTTGGAGAAGAAAACCTTCTGTAAAGTTCATTAAATAATTTTTTTTTTTTTTTTATTAAACCACTATGTGATATCCAGTGTTTTTAAATAACTGGATATTCAAGTATTCAGTTAATAATCATCAGCTCTCCAATAGTCATTAGTTCTTCTTTACAGTCAAGGGACATACTCAGTTATATAGAACTTTGTGGTGATAAATTTGAGGACTAAAAAACCTGAACATCTCAATTTCAAAACAAGGCTCTTCAAAAAATGTATGGTATTGATGAAATATTTCATACCTCTATGTGGAAAAAAGAAAAAAAGAAAATTAAATTTAGCCCTGCTACCAACTAGTGTGACTGTAAAAAAGCCCTTTTTGAAGGCCCATTAAAGACTTTTTATTCCACTTTTAGTTTGACAGTTGCCATACACAGCTCCTTGCCCCACCACTCCATACACATTTATACCCATGCAAACATACACAAATGTACTCATACATACAAAACAATATATATTTGACTGTTCCTATTTTTCCCTCTTTAAACATCTCAGACTAGTATACGAACTGGAACTTCAACCAAGATTTCAAAATCAACTCCATTAGTTTTCATGCTATTTGTTCACATCACAGCCACTGTGAATTGAATGGCAATTTTACACCTACAAAAATAACTATGCACATTTATGGAACAGTTTTTGACAGATCAACTCTAAATTTCATGCAAATCTTTCTGACAATAAGGGAGCTCAGTTTATAAAACCAGTCCACTTCACTAAACTAGGTTAGAATTAGACTCTCTCTACTTTCATAGGCAGTATGCCCACTGTAGGAGTGTATGCAGACTGTATATAAAATAAAAAGGAATTCAGTTTTGAAAGCTGCCTGTTTTGAAAAGGCAGAGGTATGACAACGTTTTCCACTACAAGATGTAACGTCTGGCATTTTTCAAGACAGGCAGCATCAGAAATCAAAACTGAACTTGTCAGTAGAAACGCAAAGTCCTTAGCAGTCTCTTCACCTTGAGCAAGGGTCTATATGAAAGCTGACTTTGTACTACGAACTCATAGTTGTATGAAATATACATAGACAGTTTGTATGAAACGAACCACATCAGAGCTAGTATGCAGATCACAGATGAGACAGGAATTGGAATTGGTCCCTAACACCTTTCAAGAACTGAGCTTTCTAATGGCTCACAACACACTGAACTGCTTATAACAAAGAGCCCCAGAACACTGGAAGCCATAACTATGTATATCCCTATTTACAGAGTGAGGCATCAAATTAATGTAACATTTACCTGGAAACATGCTGAATGCCTTATTTATCAAATGCCTTTATCACTCAAATTTAGACAAGGTTACTGCTGCAAAATAGACAACCACAGCACAGTCCTGGTTAAAAGCAACTTCAAGGACTAAGTTAATTGCACAAGTTGTGGTGTTTTGTTATTATTGTTTGTGTTGTGTTTTGTTATTGTTGCGTTGTTGTTTTTTTTTAAGCAGAATTGTATATTTCATTGTTGAATGTTATTTTACAGAGGACTTAATTACATTATTTTTTTATATTAAATATGTAAATCTGTGTATTCACAGTATTAGAAAAGCAGGCCTGCATATTTATTTGTTCTTATACTCTCTTGACTCTCAATTTACTTTCCCAAATTTTATAGAAAATATTCTAAGAAAGAGATAGAACCTATATGCTATTAATGTCCTTGGTTACCATTTGGAAGACTTTTTTGCAGTTAGGGCCTTTCAGACAGTGAACCTCACGGTCAATGACAGGTAGCTTAAAATACTTTGAAATATTATCAAACATTTTAAAATACAGAAAGTTAATATGAGGTTTTATGATTCTGAAAGGAACTTTCATATAAAAGGGTATCTAAGAGTATACCCAGAGACAAAGGATTAAAGATTAATCAGTCATTTTAAATTCTCTGTACCACTGTATATCAAAAAGAAACCCTCTTTATTCTTCTCTAAGGACAGACAGATAAAGAGCACAGATAGAATCACTTTCAACAAATCACCTGAAAAAGAGCACCTGCTTGCACCCTAACTTTTTTCTGTTCGGTATTTTGGCTCATCTTGATACCACTGTATTCCTCCTACTTCACATAACTATATGAATCTTTGGAATGACAAAAAACTATATATTTCTAATTAAAATAAATAAAGGCAGGTGCTGGAATCCCTAGTAAACTCTTCCAGCTGCTACTGAACCACTGGCAACCTGAATCTATTTAATTTCGATCTGACTAATGGCACAGAGGAAAATTTACCTGCTAGATCTGCATGCCCAAAGTAAGCCAGTAAGTGTAAAAGTGAAAAACATCTTAGGATATCAAATGCATCTTATCAAGATCCTCTGAGTGACAGCTAATCAGTCTTTCCATGGTCAATGGCTAAAAATGGTTAGTGTTTATCGAGGCTAATTCCAACACAGATAAACAACCATGAGAATCTGCTATATATCATTTTTATTAATCCCAGTTTGTATTTAAAAAAAAATCTTTTGCTACAATACTTTAAAGATACAGGCAGGTTTATGTGCACTAATGGAGAACTTCAGAGTGCTGTTAATATTGATTAAAGTAAGATACCAGAAATTAATATTTAGCAAGGTCATTATGACAGATTGATATGACATACAGGCCCTCAAGCCTGATGTCTTGTCATTTCTGAAAAGACAGCCTGTTTGGGGGGAAGAAAAAAAAAAGGAAGGAAAAGAAAAAGTCTTACAGGTGGCACTGAACTGACAGCAGCATATAATATAAAAGCGCTTTGTCATTCACATAATGTCTGGGGTAATGAAATGAATTCACTTTCTGGCTTCCTCCAGTTTGCCGTGCCAAAGAACACTGTGTTATCAGCACAGATGGAGCATGCATGGTTCTGGAGAAGAGCCTGGTGCAAACTGCAAACAAGCTTCTTTGCATACCAATGAATCCCTGAGAATCAGACCTTTGCTGTCAAGTGACAGGTTTGGAAGCTCTATAAAAATGAACTAATCCCAGTGGTCTTGTCTGACTGCATGTACTGTCAGTGCTCAGGACAAGAAATTGGGAAACACTGCACATCTTGCAGTCATGGCTACTACTTTGGTGAGAGATAGCAGGCAGACTAGGGATTTCATCCAGGTGCCAATACCTCTTTTTTTTATTCCCTAGGGATAGCAAAGTGTCAAGAGAACTACTGTCACCGGGATTAAAGATGCATCAAAATTTCCAGAAAGAGAAGGGGGAAAAGTTTCTGAGAATACTTTTGTGAATCAAAAATGTTAAAAGCTACACATGGCTAACTAGGTATAAGAGAGTCTAAATTGTTAGCCACAAATAAGAGTTATACTACTGAGTTTATTAAAACAAATCCTTTCTCCATCTGTCTCCCGCCTTGGCACAGACATAATTATTATTAATACGTATATTGTATTCCTCCTCTTCAGCCAAAGAGCTCCTCACCAGTAGGCTTAAACTGAATCTTATTTTGCACAGTGATCAACTAAATACACACGAAAAATCACCTGTATATCTTAGACAAGGGAGAAGAAATTTGGAAACCTCAAACAATGAAGCAATAAGTTTCAAACATTCTTAAATTTGGTACTTTGAATTTTCTGAACAGTTTTACAGAATCACACAGAATCACAGAATCTCTAGGTTGGAAGAGACCTCAAGATCATCGAGTCCAACCTCTAACCTAACACTAACAGTCCCCACTAAACCATATCTCTAAGTTCTACATCTAAACGTCTTTTGAAGACTTCCAGGGATGGTGACTCCACCACCTCCCTGGGCAGCCCATTCCAGTGCCTAACAACCCTTTCAGTAAAGAAATTCTTCCTAACATCTAACCTAAAACTCCCCTGGCGTAACTTTAGCCCATTCCCCCTCGTCCTGTCACCAGGCACATGGGAGAACAGAAAATCCACTTCACAGAACCCTAGAATGATGGAGTTGGGAGGGACCTTCTGAGATGGTCTTCTCCAACCCCCTTGCTCAAGTGGGGACACCCAGGTCTATTTCCAGGCAGCTTCTGAAGACCTCCAAGGAGGGAGACTCCACCTCTCTGGGCAACCTGGGCCAGTGCTCCATCATTCACAGACTCAAGAAGTTTTTCCTGATATTAAAGGTGTGCTTCCTGACACTTGCACAAAGCCCACGATTTACTCCTATACACCCTGTACAAGTTCTCTTAGATTCCTGTACCAACTAATCTCACTCTCTGTGCTCAACCAGGGGAGACCTTACAGTTCTACAAGTATAATTTTCATGGAGTAAAGCAAACCAGATGTGTCTCGTATACAGAACAAGTACAGATGCTTGTAACATCAAATATAGACAGCAAAACAAACATGACATAAAATATAGAAAAAATATATTGTAAAATAGAGGCATACCCATCAACAAAGTCAGAAGTCTCTGGACCTTTGAACTCACCCCCACAACTCTGTACAATCCTTGGTCATTTATACCTATTATGCAAAAGGAGAGAAAAAAAAAAAGGGGCAGAAGATCAACCACAGCAATAAGATACACAGTCAAATTTAGCATTAAAACTTTTCCCCAGACGACAAATTATCCTCAAAGTAAGACAGACTATGTACTATTTACACAGTCATGAGAACAACTTTATAAATCAAGTATTGCAAAAATCCTTTTGTTCTTCTGTGTTTTTAAGATAAGTTCACATTATGTTTTGGAAAAAGTTCCACTTCAGATACTGGGAGTAGAAGCAAACAGGGACTAATCTTTCCTTGAAAAATCACTGGCTGTTTTCAGATTTTTAAATGACACATTGAATACTTCATCGTCCACATTCAAGTAACGCAGGAACCAAACCAAAAAATGCTAAATTAAGAATTCCTTAGCAAATGTAATTTTGCTTTTTTCCAAAAACGTGGCTGACAAAAAGAGTTTGGATAAAATAAAGAAAAACTTGAGCCTATTCCCAGTCCTCAAAACCTTTTTCAAGTTTGTAAATGCTTTTCATTTAAGATATGATGTCTCATTCCAACCCACTGGGGTCCACATATGGGTTAAACCCAGAGGCAGCACCACAAGTTATTGAGATCAGTACTTCTGGCTTTGCTAAGGATGAAAAGAGTAGCCATAACCAGCATAATGTTTTCAGTCCTCTGCCATCATTCCATGTAGACACCGGACTGCCTTCCTGTCATTTCTCTATGCCCTTTCTTCCTCTCATACACATTCAAACCTGTTTTTATCCCCAGGGAAATAAAAAATATGACTATAAATTAAAGATAAATGACAGCGAGAGAAGTGGAAGGGAAGGAAAAGGGCAAAATAAGGTATGTCTTTCTGTCTGCTGCACCGTTTCAGATCCCATACTGGGGGAGGTAAAATATTACATGCCTGAAGCTGACACAGATATTTGAGAGGCCATATAATAATCATTAAACACCACCATACTCTACCTCTATATTCATAATGGCCTAGAAGAGTAGAAATAACATAAAATATCTGTTTCTACTCCAAGGAAATCTTTTCAAATAACAGATTATGAGGTATTCTTATTCAAAATATCTTTCAACAAAGGAAGACTTGTGGAGAATTCCCAGTTTCAATATCAAACTGTTTCAACCCAGAGAAGGAAAATTGAAACTAGTAATATGAGAAAAAAGCTTCTTCCTAAAGAAGTATTAGATGCAGTATATAAAAACATTAAATCTTTAATTAATTAATGTCAGACACAACCATAATACAAAGTAAAAGTACAGTGGCAAGAGCTTCACATTGTCTACCTCCCTCCTCCTGCCTGGTCTTGCTGCGTCTCTTCCTACTTCTCTCTCCCCCTGCTCTTCCTCACACCGTCTGCAGCCTCCTCAGGCATCCTCAGATCTCAGAGGACTTGCTGAACTCCTCACTGATAGCACTGAGACAGAGGGGACCTGACATGCTATGGCAGTAGTGCTACTTCTCTCAATTGCTCTGTCTGGGCAGAATCAGCCCTTTTGTTTCCCCGAGATGCCAGTGCCACTCTACTAATGCTGAGCCTTAAGGCAGATGTCATGTTCAGAGCTGGCTTTAAATTAACAGAATATGCCAGATCTCCAGCATTTCATCTGCAGCCATCAAAAAACACAGCTCTGGAATATGCTCAAAATTTAGCTCTGTGCAGCAGAAGGAACCACAATAAACAGTTATGTGGCCACAATGCTATTCTTCTCAGAATATGAAGTTATCAAGTCACACAAATAAGTTTTCCAATGCGGAACAACAGTGTGATGGTATGCTATACAAGCCTTGCAGACTGCCAACACTAAAGAAAAATAAACATGGTCCTTCATCCATTCCAAAGAAGGATGCATTAGGAGTCCATCCTGAGAGCAGCAAGCATTTGTTACTTGAAAATTCTCACAGAAGTCCAGGAAAATTCTGGTAAAAAGTAACACCAAGCTTTTCAATTCTCTAACAAAATGCATCACACTTTTTTTTTTTTTTTTTTTTTAATATAATGCCCACCACTACTTTCCACAGAACAAGGCTTCTGCATCACATGCAAGAAATTAAAAAGCTGAAGAAATACTGTCACAGTCAGATACATCTCTGCTTTGGCTTATCTCAGAAGTTGTTTCTTGATTTCCTGTGCTTCTAACATTAAAATTCACAAGAACCAAACTGTGCTGACCCCAAACATTCATAACATACATTTAATGGCTTAAAAATAATTAATGCCAAACCACAGAAACTACTGCTCAATATTAAAACAGACATAATATACAAAAGTCTCTGAAATTGTGGCAGTACTGAAACTAAGACATTCCTCCAGCAGTAACCATGACTCTGTGATAAAAATTATCAGATAATTGATCAGTTTCAAATTCATCAACCTGCAAAAAGCACGGCTAATTGCTAACAGACATCAAGAAGTGCAAAGAGAAATTAATATTTCAACAGTAAATAGCAATAGTTTTAGATTAAACCTTTAAACATACCATTAAATGATGTTTTATTAAAGATATACAAAACCAGTTTGAAACAGCACTGTTTCTGATTTAATCTGTACATTGCAGATCTTCAACATACCAAGGAGAGATAATGCTTGGCATTTAAGGAGCACAACTGATGAGGTGACTCATTTCAAGGAATAGCTTAGCACTGCCTAAAACGTTGAGGGGCTCAGCTACGTCTGCGGGCTCAACCCATCACTATTAGCAGCTCTGAGGGGTGAAGCCCTGCAGTGCAATTTTCCTCACATTTGCAAGATCTAAAGATGGTTGGCAGTCTGATACCAGAATTCGGCACTGGAACACGATTTGCGAAACATGCTTAGAAAGTTAAGTAAAATATAATTTACACTATTGTAAGGAAGATATGTCTGCAGACAAGTTTGGCATGTGGCTGGCATTGTAAGTGTGGCTGACACAGGCTATTAACAGAGCTGCAAATTTAACTTTTTATATCATATTCCAGTACAGAAAGAGTCGCACAAGTGACACTCTTGATTCAAAGTAATACCAGATTTATTTATTTATTTACATTTAAAAAAAAAGGTTTTATACTTCCTCCTCACCATCTTCTATCTTTCTTGTGAAAAGAAAGACAGCTCAATGCTGCCATCTGTCTCTACAGCTCAGATTAGCAGCTCCTGTAGGTCTAAAATTAAGGCAAATGCTACTCTCCCAACACTTACCTACCACATGCTCAACCAACTACTTGCACACAAAAACATGCACAGAGTCTTTACTACTGGAGCAAATAGCTCTTTTATGCTTCCGTAAACTTTTAACCCTGCTTTATTATTTTAAGCACAGAACTATAAATACATGGCATAATCAAAACAAAAACCCAAAACGTTCCCTCGGAGACAAAACATGCATGCATATCCAAACAGAACTGTGCTCCGTATGTGAGAGACAGGCTCAATATAACATTGCCTTGATAGCTCAGCATCTTCTATTAGGTAAAGCTGTGTTCTTATCCAGCAATGCAAAAAGAGCACTGAATCAGAAGCAAATTTACATTTTAACCACGACACTGTCTTTGATTTTTCTATTCATTCAAAGCAAATCATTTCGTTCTTGGCTTTATAAAACTGAACGTAACTGAGAAAAAATTATCCAGCCATTGACAAGTTTATGTTCAATATCTCTGTTATGCTCTTCTCTCTCTGAATACCAGACTTTCTGCTATGACATGACAAGACTATTCTCAGTTTCCACCCACACTAGACTGTCCTCTCTTTCCACCCACGCCAACCTCACACCCATTATGATTAAAAGAGATAAAAACATGGCACAGAAGCACAATCTCTGAAGAGGCATCTGTCCTGTTTTCTTCTGCCGAACATAACTTGCCTTTGATGTGTTATTGAAGTAAAATAGTCAAGTAAAAATTGTTTTAAAAAGAAGTATAGGTATAAAATCTACAGGTCTGAAAGACAGACTTTCTTCACCACTGTACAACTCTTTGGACAAATCCTTCTGAGGCAAACAGTTCAGTATTTTCCCAGTCCTCTTTGTGTTTAGCTCTGCAGACATCCACAGAAGGTCCTGCAGGTTCTGCAGAAAACAGAAACTTATCCTTTAGGAATGCTTCAGCCAGTCTCCTGTATGAACTCACTATTTTGTTTGTTAGGCCTTTTTTGTTTGTTTTTAGTGCAGTTGATGTTATGTTCAGAATCAGTAAACTGCAAATAATCATCAACTCCCTGAAATGTTATGGATGAATCAACTTCATTGAACCAAAGATGTAGGGATTGCTGAGCTCCTAAAAGGTAGCAAGCTCACCTATATCCGTTCTTGGAACCCTACATATTTATTCAATACTGATTTTTTTTCCTTAAGTACTTTCCAAAACAAAATTAACAAATACCTCTTGAATACTGCTTGTGTATACACCTTTCTCTTCTGTCCCCAGTTTTGGAGGTACAAGATTGAGTGTGCTGAATAGTAAGCCTGAAAGCATCCTTGCCTCATCCTTGTGAGACCGTGACTCCACCAAAAATATTTCAATACTTTTTGTTATTCACTTGCCTGCTTAGCTCCTGTTCTTGTCTTCAGTGGCTGAATGGAAAAGCTTCAAAGTCAACAAATAGAATACTAAAATTAATTAGTCTTTTCCAACAGTAAAGCAAAAGCATAGGAATTGCCTACAAGATAAAGGGTATCTTCTCAGCTGTTGTGCACCAGTATTGGCTTTCTTTTAGGGAGGTGTTATTACTCCCTTCTGAGCACTTCTTGAAAGCACATTTGTTGAAGCAGAGCAATACAGTAAAGGCTGGAACTGGATGGAAGAAAGCTCCTGAACTGGCCAATGTAATCAGTGAAATCTCTACCACATTAAGTCTTTCACAGAGATCTACAAGGAAACTAGATCACACAGGCCTTTAAAAGCAGACCAACTGCTCCATTCCCTCCACAATCAGAAGTGTTTTGTTGGATTGATCATTACCTCGTGTTTCAACAGCATTGATGCACTTTTTGATGACTGTGAATCCTATCTTATCCAATTGTGCACCTAAAACAAAAAAAAAAAGTTCAAAAACCTTTAAAACACCATTACAATTATGCCTTTTGCTGAAAAATAATACTGGACTTAACCACATGGCTAGTACTTCTCAGACAAAACCATGTAAATATTTTGAAACAGAAGTACATCATCACTTTTTCTAGAGAAATTCCTCTTTTCTCATAGCCCTACCTAGGCCAAGTTAAGGCACATTCTGGTGGTAGTGGCTACACTGAAACTGTTCACAGCAGCAGCTTTTAAAGAATGGGATCTCTAATTAGGTACATATGTTGGCAGATGCAAAATGGAGTTTAACAATACTTACTGAAACATTGACAACATCTGAGAGAGTTAACCAAATGGGACAAGGAAGTACTTATGATGAAAAAACATAATCATGAACAGCAGGCTTTTACTGAGGCCTACCCAAAGCCAAAGGAGTTCCCACACTAAAGATACAGGACACATGTATATCATTGCACAGCAGTTAATGATCTGACTACATAGAAGCAGATGCATTAACAGGACAACAGCTGAGATCCAGCATTCCTTTGTTGTTCCTATCTTGTTCTTTTTCTTCACATCAAAACTTCATTTAAAAGCTTATATTGCAAAACTGCCCTTCCCCCAAACATCTGGCTTTCTTGCTCCTGGGGACCTAGGCTTGCATCACTAAAATAAAAATCTGTGGAAAAACTTCTATTAATAAACACAGCTTTATCCAACAATATTTAAAAAACAAAACAAAACAAAAAGACACACTTATATTCCCTGATAATGTAAGAAAGATAGCTGTTTTAACTCATACATTTTGCTAACTGAAGAAAGCTAATGTTGTTTAAAGAAAGCCATTTCTTCTACTTCCATATTATGTAGTTTACATTTTAAATACATGCATTCAGTGTTTTTCCTGACCTTTATGTTCAGCTCTACTTTTAAAACCATATTTATGCATTCAAACAGATGTGTACACACAATCTGGATTAAGAAATTGTGATACACTTTCAAATTAACCCCTTTTTAAGTCACTTCAAGCATGATCTTAAATTGGTGAAAACAGACTGTTTGTTTAGCTTATGTCCAATCCTACAATTCTTACATATGTAAGAAACTGTGTTACTGTGGAAACTCATTAACGACAAGATCTAAAAAAGTACATTCAGAACTTGGGATTAAAAATACAATATTTAATTAAGTTGGAACCACAGACAAATTGTATATTTGCACTTCTCTACTGTAAAGTGTTAACAAAAATCATCTTTAGTAGTAATTCAAATACTTACTTCCCTCTCGTTTCGCACTTGCTTTATTCAAATTGATGAACAGCTAAGAGAAGAAGAGTAGAAAGACTAATTATTTTAAAGAATTGTATGAAACCATAAACAAAAGACTCCATCTTACTGCCCAGTAGGCACAAATCATCAGAACTCGAACAGTAGGACAAAAGAGCTCCGGTCCCTCAGAAAGTAAAGATTTGCAGTTTTTAAGGAGTGAAAATTTTCAGAAATTCTCAATAAACTTGGTTCCTTGGGGAGCAGAACAAGCACAGCTGTAGTCACTAAAATGAGTTGTGATTTGAGCACTCCTTTCTCCTATGTTTCTCTGCAGATTAATTTCCCACAGTTCACTGAAATCATTTCATGAATCCTGGGAGTTAGGTCCCAGCTCAGCATTCCCAGAAATTGTAAGCTTACTGGACAGTTCAGACAGCATGTGATGGTAATAAACACCTCTGCAGATTAAAAGAGATTTCTGCAACAACGTCAATAAAACTTACTGTTAAAATCCCCAGTAGCCAACTAATGTGACAGAGACACTACTGTGTTACTGACTAGACTGCGCCATTAATTTTGGCCTACAAGACCAATATAATATTTACAATTCTAAGAACAATCTGCTGCTCTCTTTCAACTCTGCAGCTCAGATCCATTTCTCGATGTGAACTAGAAATTAAGCAAACTTAATGACAACCTTATTTCCAATGACACAGATATTTTTTGATCTATTTTGTAAAAAAAATAATACCGCAGCTAACTCATGCAATACTTGCCACTGGAATACAGTATGTCAGCATATGGCTAAGTGAACATGCTTATAGTAGACATTTTCTTGAATACTAATATTACCATTGTGATCGGAAACCATTCATAAAAACCAAAGCTGGTGTTATAATGAAAAATACCTCGTATCAGCATTAACAGATATAAACACTGAGCTTTACCAACGTACTCATCTCTCCCAAGTTTTATTTCACTTTTACTCCTTCTTCAATGAATCTAAACTACATAAATTCAGTTTATTGAAGTGCAAATGTGATCAGGAAGAGGGGGAAGGGAGGGATTTCTCCATTATAATACAAAAATGATCTTATGATCATCAGAAGATCAGCAATGATCTTTTGAGGTCCCTTCCAACCCCTACAATTCTGTGGAAAAACAAACAAACAAACAAACAAAAACATTAAAAACATCACTTACAGCTTCTTTTCCATCCAAGGCTTCCATCCACAGCTTCCTGTCTTCCTCAGAAAATGCCTGCATGGTCACAGGAACTCCAGGCCTGCAACCACACAGAGTAACTGCATTCACCAGCAACTAAAACATGGTCTTGTCAAACTCCACTTCCAAATGCATTAAAAGCTCATTGTCCTAAAGTCTAGGGTTTTGCTTAATTACTGAACACTGCTCCTCATTGAAGTAAAAGGAATAGAAATGATGCGCACAGCAGGAAATAGAGAGGATGGAAAGGAAAAAGGAAAGCGAATGTAATCTCCAAACTATTTATTTAAAACAGCTCATTGTTGATGGCTTGTTGATTCTAATGCTTGCTGAGAGTTACTGAGCTTTCTGAATTCTAAACAGGCTAGCTCTTGTGTTGGCGTGCTATTACAAGGGGAAAAAAAGTAACAAATTCAACTTTAAAGCACTAACTTTAATGACTATAGTTTTCCAGTAATTCTTTTATCAAAATAATCAAGTCTTAATGCAGCATGTCCTTACAAAACTCTAGTGTTATAACTTCCCTAACAAGTAACATGGACAACCATGGGACATTGGGATTACTGAACAGAGATTAACAAAAATCTACTTTGTATTTATGTAATAGGAAAAGAAAAAGAGCAATTGTGTGGTTCAACGTAATGTACAAAGCAAGGAGAGTAAAAAGCAGAACAGGTTGTTTGGGTAATTATTTTTTCTGCAAATTTAGAAAAATCATTATATTCAGCCTGCCAGTATTTTGGGCAAATAATGTAAATCTCGTTATATAGAGATAGATAGAAATACAGAATTAATTCATAACATTCTCCACATTCTCTCTCTCCCTCTCTCTTTTTCATATTAAACCTATCTTCCAGCAGCAAAATAGCTGTAGGGAAAAATGGTTTCAAAACTCATAGCATAGAGAAAAACAGAACAAATTCCACTTTTCCTTCAAAACTGTAACAGTCTACTCAGTTTATATGTTTACAACCAGAGTTGTTTCTAGAGAGATGTTTCTAGTTCATTTTCACTGTGCCAGAAAGTTTATCAAAAGTTTATCAAAGTTACTCTCATAACTCCTGTATACTTTCTTTTCAGTAAAATTTTAACCATCATGATATCAAAGATTATCACCTTGAGGCAATACATTAAACTCAGCATATACTTCAAAAAATATTATTTGTCATCAAGTTAAAGTCAAAAGAGACAAAGCCTTCTCTCTTTCTTTTCCTGTATTAGAATAATGCTCTTTCTTTATCAGTATTAGACAGGAGACCCATGCTGTCTCTTTTCTAAGATTTAAACTTCTCTACATTTGCTCATTTAGAAAAAAAAAATAATTTTGGTTTTCTTCTAAAAAGAAAAATCTGTAAACTTTCAGCTAGCAGATCCAAGCAAACTATGCTCGTCACTTAAAAGGCTGAACATTTGCTACTGAAAAGTTCTTCCTAAACTTATCCAGTCTTCCCTCCTTCCAAAGCACAGGAACAAAGAAAACCCCATGGCCAACCATCAGTCTGTACATTACTTTATAACTTGGACAAGCTGAGGGATAAGTGTGTCCTGAACTGATACCAAGGAAACGAGCTAATGGCCTGCAGCATGCAACTAATCTCCATGGGAACATCTCAGTATTACACACATATATTATTAAAAGAAAAATGTGTGATATCAAGGTCACAGTGGACCAGTTGTGTCTATTATATCTAGACAGAAAGATGGATTGTATTTTTCCCGCTTTTACGAGAACAGAATGAAAAATTGTTTTGTGGGATCAAGGAAGCACTGCTATCCATCCATCTCTGTTCGACTCCAGATACCAGAACTCTAGAGAGGACATACTGAGGGGAAGCAACTGACACTCCTCGTGGTACTTTTTCAGTGACTATCAGACTCCGTTTGGAATCTAGTTTCCATACTGATCAATACACTGACACAAGAGGAATTATGTCAAGGGCTTAAATCTCTATTCCATTTCCTAACATCGGGACAGTGCTGGAACAGTTAATCCACATCCCCATCAAATCATAACCGCAAGTTCAGACCCCTGCTGTAGACAAAAACAGAGCTGTAAATGGTACCTTGTTATCTCCCACATATACTGAAAGTTTACAGACACAGTGGTAGTTCTGCATTCCTTCACCCATTGCTTGCTACAGAAACAGGCATGCCTTAGGCAAGCTGGCCTGACTGGCCTCACCAGCTAAGCACAGCATCTGACCAAAGACTGGGCATGTGCCTATGAGCATCATCACAGACATACCTGCAGCACCAACTACCACAGGATAGAGGGGCCTGGCAACATTGACCACACCACATTTTAAGTGAGTGGTGTTATGAATTTGATGGGGAAAAAAAGCTTTAAACCTGAAGATCTGTTACATGATAAAACAGAATGCAAGTAAATTGCTATAAGGAAATGTGTTGGTTAAAAACAGCTCAAAAGGGGTGAATTTAAAAACTCAGCAAGACTTCATAAACTTCTATCTAGCATTTAATGCACCAAAAGAACATGGCCTTACCACAATGTTATTTAACTGCAGTGCCCTATTAGGTTAGATTCTCTCACCTTCGTAAATGAAGGAAGACTACAATGCTGATGGAAAAGCAATATTGATCATATTTTAAGATCCTTTTAGCAAAATTTATAAATAAACAATTACTCTCTTTTGAAATAAAGCAACAGAATGGTAGTGTTTCAAAAAGGCAGCAGCAACAACATTCAAAATGCATTACATTATTAAACTAGCCACAAAAAGCTTCAAAATCCAAATGATTTTATTTCTAATCTGAGAATCCAGCACAATCCATCAGCAACATGACACTTCTTGAAAGCAGACTTGTGATACAATATGGTCAAGACTGTATGAATTATCCACTGTGATCATAGGTTTTCACTACAGCTACGTGTACTTTGAGTTAAGCCACGTTAATTCACTACAATAACAGTAATTTATAACAGTTTATCTTTCTATGCTTTTCTTTTATGTGATACCTCAAGACAATGCCCACTTTTCAGTTTAGATCCTCACTGCTTCTGCTATACACAGCTGAGGTAAAATGCGTAAGCTATGACAGTGGCATGCAAGCTCCTCTAGCAACTGTTTCCCACTGGCAGTTTGAATGATCATTGGAAAAAAAAAAAAAAAAAAAGTAATTTTACAGTAATATTTACTAATACTTAGAAACAGTCCTTTCTAATGTGTTTCATAAGCTTACCTGTCTGAAGCTTCTAAGTCGAAACAGAATCGCCTGTCGATAGTATCTATATTTCTTTTGGTACAATATGTAAGGATGAAGAGTTCCTCATCACCCTGTGAAAAGAAAGGTTTTCTATGCTTTATGCCAGTAATTGAAAGCCTCAGTAAGTCAGGAATACCAAAAAAAAGTATGATGAATTTACATTAAAATAATAGCAAAAGCTTTACAGAAAACTGATACTTGAAAAAAAAAAATGCACTCAGGGTTGCCATTCAGGTCACTACACAGCAGTGAATAAATTCCATGGCCATTTAGGGGACACAAACACAAAAATATAAAGCCGACTTTAGCTGGTACTTTACAGTGTGACACAGCAACACAGTAATTTAACAAAAATATTTTGTCATCGAAGTTTTGCATGTAACAATATAAGCAAACATTGAGTGTAAGAGACTTTCATTCTCCTCTTTCATGCCAGACACAGCAATCTCCATATTAAAGGCTACTGTTACAATAACTAGAACAAAGTGTTCTTTACTCTCTGGAATCTGCCTTACAGACCCAGTCATTTCTTCAAGACTGACCAACACTAGGATTGTATTTTACCCTTAAGAATTGAGAAATCAAACAAATTCTTCTGTGAATGCCATATCAGTTGTACCAGCTTTAATTAGGATTAATTGTGCATTTTAATTATTTTTGTCTTATTCAGCATCTCCAGAGGCAGGAGATGAATGAAGGAATAATTGCACTGGTATCTTTTAATATAGCAAAAAGGGCTTCCTAAGTGTTTTAGAAGGCCAAATACTTATCCACATGCTTTATTAACTAGCATTGCTTACTACAGTTAGAGTAAATCAGGATTAAAAAAATCATAAAGTATTGATATGATTAAGGAAGCCAACTACCACCGATTTTCAGTACAGCAGGTATTCTGGTGCTTCTGAAAGATTATCCCCAATTCAATATATTTGTAAATATGCACAGCCCTCAAATTATGAAAGCCATCTTCCATTAATGGGATATAACACCTAGATAAAATTTGAACAATGTGACTTCTAACCAAATCTGAAGATTGGGCAGGGTGCTACATTTACAGGAATATTGACATGAGCATTATTTTCAATCTTCACATATCTTTTTTCCTTGCAACAAAATGCTTTTCATACATATTAATACATTCATTTAATGCTTCATCTCTGAAGGTGCTAAGTGCCTTTAACTCCCAACTATTTCAATACAAATAAAAGCCATTCAAAGATCAACAGAGTCTTGGGTCTTGAATATTTCAGATGCTATCAAAAGACACCTGAAATTACATTCAGTTGTCAGTACATTCCTATTTAATAGGAATATAGTTTCCAGGTCCTCTTCTAGTACTTACATCTACCAAAGAAAAATCTGACTAGAGAGTGTAAGAAAGAATTTTTTAAATCCATTGTATTTTCTTAATTTATACTTTAACAAGTTAAATACTTCACAAATAAAGCAGTGCGTGTTAACTGCATTGTGTTGTCCGGTCTTCTAAAAGCAAGCAATTGAAGAGTCTGCAGAAAGCCCATCTATTAAGCCATTCCATTACTTTATGTTCATAGCCTTAAATGGCACACTGAGTTGCATGAAGAAAGAAGACAAAAAGGTGCAGGGAGGTGGAGAGGGAAAAGACTTGACATGTCTTATCTGACACATCCACTCATCTTGATAAGAGTAGAATACAAAAATATACTTACAGCTTTCCCTCCTGATCTGTGTTCAAATGGGATCATGGTGAACTTCTTTGTCTCTTTCCTGTATGTGCAATAGTGCTTCACCCAGCTGGAACCAAAGGGGGCAGGCCCTATGTAAATGGAAGCACTAAGTATTATCTGCTATTTCCAATTTGTGTTTCATTCTCTTGCTATCTAAAATGTTACTTAGAAGTCCTATTTAACTCCTAAGAATGAAGTGTTTAAAACAAAGTAATTAACTAAGAACATTATACAAAGTAAAGCAAAAACTAAGTGGTAATTACTATTCTAAAACTTGATATATGTTACGTTACATATTTACACATAATGATCATTGGAAAGAATTATCACTGTATATACCTTTACCTCAGATACAGACAAAACCTTTTCCCAAGACAATAAATATCCCTGTGAAACTGTAAAGCAGAACATGGAAATCTAGTTTGAGCTTAAGTAACTGCAGATTAATGCATCTATGCTGTAAGCTCCACATTATCTACTGATTATGATATGACTACATTTTCTGACACCAAAACTCACTCCTAACTATTCAACGGTACACACCCTACATTGGATACAGAAATCAGCCTACTGCATACACTATAATTTGTACCATAACGTTGACTATTAAAACTTGGATTCTGACCCCCTGTTACCTCCTCACTTCTATTAATTTACTTTAAAAAAAGTAAAAATTAAAAAGGCCTGCAAAGGAATCCTCTTTTAATGTGCTCTGCCCTGAAGCATCAGGGAAAATCTTCGTGACTCACTTAAGCTGACAGCGGATTTCACTGCTCCTGAAACTAGAAGGTCTCACTGCCCTGCTCCTCCCCAACTCAGTTTCAGACATACCCACCTCTTCAGAATCCTTCCAGTTGATTCTAAAGCTCATGATGACTAAGACCAGTGAAATGATCTCATACCATATCTGTTTTTCTTATTTTGTTTCCCTTTGTTTAAAATCTTATTTCTAACACTGTAATACTAATAATTCCATCAAAAATGTTGTGGTCTTCTATTTATGAGATGTTTTACAGAAGCCCTTACCTCAAAAATATGATTAAACATCATAAAAGTAAAATCTCTCACCAAAATAAGCTAACAAACTTTCTATAACAACACATATCTAACAAGCATGGCTTACACAAAATGTTTAAAACAACAAACAAACAGATTTTATGGTTATTTCTTGAGAAGTGAGAGCGCTTCATCTTATTTGGCCTTTTTACTACAGTGAGAAGAATTTTCATTTGTTCAAAGTACTGACATGATGTGTGACATCTTCACAGGAAGATTTTCAACACTAGCTACCTAGCATATAACCTGGTTTATTTGGTCCTATGATCACAACCAGGTAATGAGAGAATATTACTGAACCAAAGAAATGACAGTCAACTTCACCATACTAAACTGATAAGGCCTGATTTTCAGAGATTAATTTGACAACTCATGTTGTTGTCTGACAACAAACGTCTGACAACTCTAAGGGAGGTCATTACTAAGGCATTAAAAATAAAATCAAATAAAACTTACTTGAATTCAGTCAATTCTTGCTTAAAACTGTCACACTTTTACCACATTTGTTTTATGACCTAGCGTAACACTGCCATTACAGACTTGGAACATTTATTCAGATGAGTCTGTTTAACAAGCTGTAAATTGTCTTCATGCTATCTGTAGAAATAAGCCTTGCCTGCATGTGCATTATGTGCGCTATAGGAATACAAAAACATCTTACTTTTTTCCTGTACATAGAGATAGCCTTCCATTGTGAAATGATTTGCTCTTTTATGTTCCTGAGGATTTCTTCTGATCTTGTTCATGAGCTCCTCGACCTCTGACCTTGTTCCTTCAAAACGATTTCGTGTCTAAAACAAGATGGCAATAAAATATTACTAAAGGGAGCAGAAGAAAAACTTATTCTTTCTGGCAGTAGCAGTTATAGTAACTATTATTTATAAAAAGAGAGAACGATAGAAGGCCATTTTAGGATGATCAGTACACAATTTCTATATGCATTTACTCTTAAAATTTTCTGACAATACTCGAAGTGTCTTTTAGAAATTAATTGTTATAACTGGAAAGCACACAAAGACAGTCAGAGTAGATTTCTAAAACAAGGTGTTGACCTGTTCAGAAAGAACTGAAATATTGATTTAAAAATTCAAGTTTCTTAAGCGAAATATTACTGCAAATGTTGTCTCAATTCATGAGATCCTTACTTGTTGTCAGGAAGGAAAGGAGACTCTGTGGTTATCGAGAAAAACATGACAAGAAGGTCACCAATAATTTATATACATTGAGACCATTCACATGCCAAATGTTTCGGTCACACAAAAGCTGAATCATGCAAACCAAATATGCATGCATTTAAAGAAAAAAAAAAAAGTCCAGATTATTATTATTATTGCTGGGTGCCACTCACTTTAAAGTTTTAAGCAGTAGCAAGAGAAATATTTACTAAAATATTAGTTTTTAAAAAAAAAAAAAAACAGAAAGCAACCACACCATCCATAAAGTATAAAATAGAACTAAACAAAATAACAGAGTAGCTCACACCTGACACAAGGAAATCTTTGGTTCAGTCTGCAAACCACCGACAATTGGCCAATGAGCAAATACCAAAACAGGCACAGTAATAGTTTTTTCCACATACCCACTTATCCAAATTGCACAAACTGAAAACATATACTCAAGCTGGTATTTTGCCCAGTTGGTTACGTGCATTTTGAGGCAAGCACATACTTCCAGATGCATGCTTATATGCCTTGTTGCTTTTTGAAAGCACCTTTATTTTGCTGAAAATGGATCAGCTTTAGAAAATGATGCCTTACTTCAACTTTTCACAAAAAGCATGCAGTTGCACAAACAGACAAATAAATACATCATGAATACAAACGAGTATCCATTCTTGTACCTAGACAGTTAACAGTATGTGCCTGGCTGGTCATCTGTACGTGCAAATTCTAGATTTATGCTTGGAAGGAGTTTATTGATGGCCACAAATAGAGTCCATGCAAGCTGATCAGAGCAGCCACACATACCCATATGTTTTAGAGACAAAAGATACTCTTTTTGGTGATGTCTAGGAACAACTGCTTTCTTACCTGCAGGCAAAACAACTGGTCTGAACCCTCCCCACATCCATAGTCTCAGTCTCAGGTCACATCTGCTCACAAATTTATGAGTCAGACCCCACACAAATTAATTTCCAAGGCTCCAAACGATTTTCAGAGTTCTTTTTCATATTTCCCCAGAAGAGCTGCAATAAAAACTACACTCTCTACCCAAGGCAAGGGCAAAAGCTGATTGTGACAAACTGTTCATATCTATATCTTACTGGCTGAGCACTGATTGCTGCTAGATGTTTTAAACGATTCTGCCAGGACCTTTTCTGTATTAGCTGTGCAGCAATCACAAATCCATGTGTGCAACATGCACTCTGGGAACATTGGGAAGAAATGCCGCAGGCTCCTGAAGGATCAAAACAAAATTCCAGCTGGTGCTTCTCTCTACCTCTTTCCCCCATCTAATCTCTCTTTCAAAGCTCTCTTGAAAGAGTCACATAGAGAGCACTAAACTCAAGAGTGCTGAATTACAGATGTGAATCAGACCACAAACAGCACAAATGGTGGTGGTTTCACACCTATAGGGCAACCTGCTACTGACAGGAAAGGGATGCTGTTTCAACACCATCTTTCTGTCTTCCTTTGTGTTATGACAAAGCTGAGTTTAACCAGGAGTCTATTAGAGCTGCTCCACCAGCAAAGCTACATCCTCCTCTTCCCTAGGAAGCCACACTTTGTTTGCAGGAGAGAAATCATCAAGGCTGCAAGGATCCATGCATGGGGCTGAGCAAAGAACTGAGATAACAAGAGAAAAGTCCCAGTTGCACTTAGCAAGCAAGGGTTGAGAGAGCACAGGGAATCAAGTTAGACATGCAAGACTATCACAAGAGAGTAAGATTATTTGTTGAAAGCATTGACTTATTGGAGTTTGGGGTAAAATTTGGGTTTTCTCTTTTTCTTTCCTCCATTTTTTGGGAAGGCATGATCTGGGGCACGGTATGGAGAGAAAATCACCAATGTCATTCTTAAAGTAAAGATAACCTGAACAAAAATAAAGGCTAAGAGGATGGGAAGATATGAACTGTAGCAGACCAGAGAACAAAGGCATGTAAAACGTGTCAAGATGAACACTGTAGGCATGCTTATGCTACGTACACGTGTATGTAGCTCCAAACTATTACAGAAAAGAAGGAACAGGACCGTGTGGAGCTGGAAGTTTTGGGGAATGGTTGTTAGAGGTCCACTTGATCTTTCATGGAACAATATGTATAGGGAGTCTTTCTCTTAGGACGGTAAGCTAGGTAGAGATCTGTATTTAGAAGCTTTCCTAAACTTCCACAGCATTAATGTATGATTAATAATTTGGTTTCTCAGGAAATGCTAAAACACAGCTGAAAGCCTAAACATACATCTTAGGTTTGAGGCACTAAGTACTTTATATCTACCCGAAGGAAACTGCTACTCTGAACTCTCACCCCACCCAGTTGCTTCCAAAAACGTAGACAAGTGAGGAAATTTTAGCAGCAAACCTTCTACCACTGGAAAAGAATCAAAGTGTACTCATCAGCTTTTCTTCCACAGATTAGAGAGCAATTATTTGTGGTCACCCCCTTGAATTAAATTATTACAGCTCTGCTGAGAAATCACTGTTCATACACAGCGAGGCTCTCTGTACTGAATCCTGTACCCTTGTATTTCTAACATATCAACCCCCTGTCCTACTAGCAGCTCAGCTGTACAACAGCCAAGACCCGGTTCATTTTTCCTTTGTGATGTTTTCTTTATCTTCAGTACAGCACACTGCTATGTGTCCTCATGATCTTTGCAGACACATCTTTTTATTCTCCTCTTACTCTCCTCTTTCTATTGTGTTTTGAAATAGAGGTTGTTCTTTCTATCTATTCATAAAACTTCAGCTGTTATGTTCAATCTCTTCTGGATTTCCTGGGGCACACTGTAATATCACGCAATTGACTGAAATGCATCTGTTGAGATTAGCCTTCTTTTTGTTCGTCACTTCTTCAGACTACATCTCTGGCTCTTTTCCAACCACAATCTGAAATCCAGCTCTTCAATACTGTATCATAGCTTCCCTCTCACATTCTCCTTCTTGCTTGTCTTGAGCCAGGTCCCCTCTACCAACTGCCACTGTGTGTTCTTCCTTATTCCATTAAACAAAGCACACAGAAGCAGCAAGTTGGTCCTGAAATTTCTGCCAGGAAATCTGACTTCTGTTTATGAAGTTACTACTATTTAGTTCTCCTACCCAAACTAAACAACAGCTCTAGGGAAACATGAAGACTTAGATGTGTGGAAAGAAATTGACAAGAATGGTTTGGTGACACATGGATCATGTCGCTGTGTATTACAGTAACCGCAGTCTTCTATTCTACCTTCCTGTCTCCCTACTATCTGCTAGTTAAGCCATTTCTAAAATTAGTCTGCAGCCTCCTGGAAGTGTCTTAATTCCAGGTGCCCTTGGAGATTAACAAAAGGGATGCACTATCATGAAGTGCTTGTTTAGAGTAAGGTACAAGATTTATTTGCTATCAAAAGGCCTCTGGCACACCAGTGTTCATGTGGAGCAAGTTTTATTCTTTAACAAAGCTCATGGAAGAAAACAGACCAATTGACTACTGATTCTGCCACCCCCATTGCTTCAGCCTGTCACCTTGCTTGCTGCACTTTCAATCCTGAGCTAACACCAAGAGTCTCCTTGTACAGTTCTGTACCACCAACCAACAGGGATGTAGGTCTTTTTGAGAGATGTATTACAAACCACAAAATGAGAACTCACAGGAATCAGCAGTGATTTGTTCAGTGATGTGGTTGGTTAGCCAGAAGATGGCACTATATCCTCGAAGTTCACAAGCAACGGACTACCACGATGAGGAAAGTTTTGGCAATACAAATATTTTCTGGCAAAAAGTCTTTTAAGAGGCATAAATATCAATCGCAACTTACATTTTGTATATTTATCTGCAGGGCCATTTTGTAATGACTGAAGTCTTTAGCAAGTTCATATCCCTGATGATAGAAAGTGAACAAACCCTGAAAAAATGATAGCACCTGAAATACAAACAAAAGACTTGTCAGAACGTAAAGCTTCATTTACCCGAATGATTGCTGCATGTAGTCTTTTACAGAAATATCAGAGATGATAATTATTTTTTAAAAACACATCTCCAGCAACGTCCACAAATTCTGAATACCTATGTGGATCCAAATGATTGGCTATGTATTCATGGATTCTGGTGTGGTCCTATCCCTGGAATTTCACAACTCATCTCAATTTTAAATTTTACTGTAAGCAATGTATATTGCCTATCTCCCAGTCCTCCCTGTGTAATGTTTTCTATCAGCTGCTCTGATACCCATGATGTCTGGAATAAATTTGTGCACGAGGTGAAGAAGATCCTTGTCTTTTTGTTACTATTTCCCTCCCTTCTAATGACCACATTGAAATGATTTTCATAGCAGATTTATTGGTTTTGGGTGAAAGCAGCTCTCCCTCCAGCAGCTTTACTCATCACTGCGCACAGACCTGACACTCTTAGAACTTAAGAAGTGATTGTATTGCAGTTTCTGACTTCAGTGTTTTAATTTAAAGAAAGAATGACTGCATGCTGTATTGCAAGCTGCATAAGGGTGCAGTAGTGCCTACCTCTCCTGTTTAGTTCAGGTAGTTGGAAAGAAGCAAGTGACACAAACAACTCTCTTTATTACAGAGACCAAATCAAAGAATGTGTTTAATAGAGTCTTAAGTCACATACAGATAAACCGTTTTGCATGATTGTTTTTTTGTTTGTTTGTTTTTAAAGCATTAAGTAGGGAAACAGAGATAAGCATCCAGAAATTAAACCTCAGTTTACTACAGAAAATTTCAAATACAAATTGAATAACAAAGTTTAACCCCATCCAGAGAGTTTTCAGAAAAGTGAAATTAAGTGGTTGGAAACAAAAAATGAACTGAAAAGAAATTTTTACCATTCCTTGAACAATGTTAAAATATTTAAAGCAATTTACTCCCTCTGAAGGATTTTATTTCAACAATCTTTCATATAGAAATAAGATGTATTAAAATCTATAGCTCTAATTAATTCCATAATGAGCAGTTACTTTGATTAGGTCACTTGGGACTTGTTTTTATTTTTATTTTAAATAATTTTATCAGAATAAATGGAGAGACTTGACCCAAAAACACATAATGCAAGTGAATGGAAATCAGTTCTACAATACACCCTCCCTTTATCTATGTATTACACTTACTGTTCTCCTGGTGCTTTATGAAGTTGCATTTATCTTACAAAGCTAATTCACATTTCAGGAAATTTTTAATAACCACTTCTCAGAGGCTCAGGTTAATCTTGTCAGCACATATATGATTTTCACTGAACTCCAGTGAAACTCCAGCTCCCCTGATTTGTGCATAGATTCAACTCCATTTGAAATCAAACATTTCAGACTACCTAATACTGAGCTTTTTAGTCAGAAGCACCCTTTTAGTGTAGAAGCGTAGATATAAATTAACAGGCCTTTACGTGCAACCTTCAACTTGGAAAAAAAAAAAAAAGGTTACATTAGTCAAGAATAACACTTCAGGTGTTAAAAAAATATTTTTTTTAAAAGATGCAAAAAGAAGTCTGACCCTATCATCATTTTTTTGAATCCTCTATTCTAACTTACACCATAAATCAAGGTGTTGTTTTTTTTTTTTCAATACTGCACAAGATTTCACATTATCTGAAACTCAACGTCACTGAATCTAAATCAATTGTGATAATTAAAATAAGGTTTGAGCTGCTTGGATAAGCGTGTCTGTATTCAGAATTTGCACAGATGTAGCAAGACTGCTTTAAATTCTGTTAAGTCACACGATTGCATACATCTCAGAAAGCAGCTCCTTGGCTGGCCTTTGTCCAACTGCATTCTTTCTCCGTCCATTATGAGTAACAGGGTAGACTGAATTCACTGGTACTTACAGGTTCCACACATTCAAACTTCTTCCGCTCCTGAATCTCTTGCAACTTGCATACATATTCAAGGGACAGCTCATAGAAGTGTTTTCTATTCTGCTCCACTTGGCTATCTGCCTACAAACAAAAATATAGCTTATGAAGTTTCAAAGACATTTTGCAGACAGCTTCAAACTGACACACGTATTGCATACAAGCAGCAAATGATAACAGAACTTGTTCCAGACCAGGACTTGTTCCTTTACTACAGAGCTCATTCGTTTACTTTCAAAGGGAAGCAACAATTCCCTTTTACTAGATAGCGTATATTGTTTTGATTCATGAGATTAAATTTTTAGGAACATTCTGATAACACTTCTTCCAGCCTCTTTTCAATGGAATCCAAGCCAAATAAATCAGAGGAAGTACTTCAGCAATAATAATGCTGAAAAGGTGCCTGCCAGAGAGACAGGGCTAACAGCATCTTCCATCAGAAAAAGGGGGAATCAACTTTCCAGTTGAGGAAGAAAAAGTTACTGCTGAAAAGCATTTCACTGGTTTTGAAAGCATTGTAAGCTTTCCTCTATACCCCAAATGACTGCTACATATAGCCAGAATCCTATTATACCTGTCTCACACCTTTGCTTACTCTGATTGACAATATAGCCAAGAAGGAAAAAAAAAAAAAAAGAAATTGTTCTTTTATTGGCAGACATTTCACAAGTTTCCACAGATCATCAAATATTTAAAAATGCAGCCTTATTAGCTGCAGCTAATTTTTAGCTCAGCTTTGGTAAAATGCCAACATCATATTGATCCTGATCAGTTATATTTCAGTTCCATTCATTCTTACATAAATATTTAACTTTCTAGCATATATGAATTATTTCTTTAAGTTACATTTTGTTCTACGCATACCCTCATTAAACTATGAAACTTCAAAAACCGGATAATGGAGACCTTCATTCAAATGCATTAAAAGAAGGGCAGAGAGGGATCCTGTAGGTGATTAACACTTTGTCTTCACCCATGTGATAATGCTAAAACACTGTTATAAGTTCCATTATAGCTTCTGCACTAAACTACAAAAAGAAGTAGAGAATACCCTAAGTGAAGGACTTACTACCACACTCTCTCTCTTAAATACCAAGATTATATCCTTCAGACAGAACTCTGACCACTATGCTTTAAGAGGATAATTCAAATAAGCTTTAGGACACTTTTGCCCTAAGACGTGCTTTGCTTTGCTGCTCAGTGCTCAAAATCTGTCAGTGGCTAAAGGGGCATAACAACAAATGCCATTAAAAAAGGAAAGCACTGATACGCACATCATTAAGTAAAAATGTTTCAAAAAAGACAAGTCATTTTGATGCATCCTGTAGCCATGCAACACAGGGGCTGTTTGAATTGTCAGCAAAGCTTATAATGATATACACATGCAGTGAAGTACAGACAGAAAAATGCAGGTTTGCTAGGATACTTAGCTAATCAGTGCCATATATAGAGCAGTCTTACCAAAGTCTAATAAGCCTGCTTCTCTCTCTTTTTTTTTTTTTTTTTTGATTGTTTATTGTTTTGGGAGTCTGTCCCCATCCCCCAAGAACATAATAGCCAACACAACTATTTTATCAATTCCTTTCATTTCCTCTGTAAATAAATTACCGCATTTCTCCTCATTTTTTAGAGTCATGAATCTTCCTGTGCACCCAGCAAGCTTGCTCACTGTTGCACTGTACTTCATGTGCTGACTAAGAAATTCAGAAATAAGATGCTGACCATTCCTCAGTAAAATTTCAGGAATATCCCTCCATTAATAGAGTCAAAGCCTATGGTGTGGTAAGACATACTCCACTGTGACGTGGTTTTTATCTTTTTTTTTTTTTGGTCGAATTTATATCCACATCCTTTATTCATTCCAGATAGGAATTGACACAACTAGCCAAACGTAATGTGAAATAAGGAAGCTCCCATGCAATCATATACAACTATTTCCCAAGTTTGTACAAGAAAAGTTTTCCTACCCTTAGGATTTTAATGATACAAAGCATTCATAGATTAATCATCAATAATTCTGGCACAATTTTATTTCTCAAACAAAATCCTTCTGCCTACAGCAAGTCTCTGCAAGATCTCTCTGCTCTTTTCTCAACTATTATTTGCTGTTGCTCCAGAAATAAAAGCTATTACAAGTACAAATGATGATAAAAACCCACACGGAGAGAAGGAATGCCAGGGAAAACAGATCTGTTTTAAAGTTATAAATTGTCAACAACTTTTCTGTAGCATTACTTGAAAAAAGTGGATCCTCAAAACATATGAGGAAAAAAAATAGTACAAAAACATGTCTTTCTGGAATATAAATCTAACTGTAATTAGCATTCTGTGTTAATCCTTAGTAGTAAGTCAACACATACAATGTAATACAATTTATATATAGGCTAAAGTCGTAAGAGAAACGTAGTTTTTCACAATACATTTGCACATCAATATTCTCCGAACTATATAAAGAACATGACATCCAATGCTTCATATATGTTTCAAGGAAAGCCCTTGAATCAGAAAACAGTGGGGCATAAAATCAAGTTCAACAAATACCAACTCGCACCAACCTTTCAGAAATTTACCTCTATGAATGCTTCTTTTGCATAAAATACATTTATCTACTCAAAAGCCTGTAAAAGGAAGAAGAGCAGCAGCAATACCTCTTGTAATTGTAGCTCTTTCTTCTTAGCTGATAAATTTAAATGTTTTTCTAACAAACTGTAGTTCTTTTCTGTCTCTTTATCGAACTTCTTCTTTTCCTCCTAGACACCAGAACAAAATAACATTCATTTATAAATAAAAATGTAAGAAAAGCCTCTTTCATTGTTCTTTTAAAGTTTTCTACTTCATCAAAGAAAAAAGCTCTTTTATTCTTTTAAGTTTCTATATAAAGAAAAGCAAAATATCATACTCCATTAACTAAGGAAACATGTTTCCAACTAATTCTTTAAAAAAAATTGAAATAAAATCCCATTACATTATCACAGTGAAGTTTAACACGCAAGTGAACACTTAAAATTGATTATAAAAAAACTTCTTGATTTATTGTGTTTTTCATTATTTTCAGGGATCATCCACATCTTTTGAATAGAGGACTTCACAAGAAACATCAGTTCCATTAAAAAAAAAAAAAAAGAACTTTCTATAACTGACTGAGGAGAAGAAAGAAAAGATCATTTGAGTAGGTTGCAACAGGTTCACAGCCCAAAAACCAAAGTGAATATAGCTTCATATTCTGTAAGATTTCTTTATTTTAAAACCAAAGAACTCTGTGCTGAATTCCCACATCTGCTAGACTGCTGCTGCACCCATGACAAAAAAAAAATAGAAGATAAATCTCCATGGACCATAAAATCATGCTAGCAGAAGAGCATCTCACAAGCACACACAAATAGCATTTGCATGTACTAATCATCCATTTGTCTGGCCATTAAAAGCAACATATTGGAAGAGAGACAGACATGAAAAGTTTCTAGGAAATTTGAGTTCTTGGATCTAAGACAATGACATTGTCAAACAACCCTTTCATTTCTGCATTTCTAGTTTCTCAGTTCCATGTGTTAAGACAGAAGTCAGTACTGATTGAATTAACCAACCAGTTTTTAAAGCTATTTTCAGTATAATGAGTTGCAGCAGAAAATAAAGCTTTAGAAACAGGAAAAAAATCCTTATTAAAGCACTCACAGATTTGCTCATCAGAAACAGACCAGTTCAATGACATTAAGAATTCTGCATATATTCATGTATATTCATTATATATGCACCTATTCAGCATACTGGTTAGACTCTACACATATACTTGTTCATTTTTTAATCCTAATCTTTCATTTTTAATAATTCATGCAGGTTTTTGTTCTCTGCAGGATTTGATTTTCAAGATGGCATTCCTATAGAGGATCTAAGCTGTTTAAGACTGCTTTTCAGTAAAGGATTTTACAAAAAACGCTTTTTCCTCCATCACGTATCTAATACCTTTTAAAAAAAAGCCACAATATTTCTTATCAATTGAGAAATGATATAATATGCATGTGGGATTCATTAGATATAACATGTTAGCATACACAGTTTAGAAAAAAGAGGAATGGGGAAAAAAAAGGTGTGTGTTTATACTAGCAAAATTTCCATTGATCAGATAAACATTTGAATGCTACCAGAAAAGAAGAGATATTTACTTCTAAATAGGTAAAAAACAGAAACAATCAGAAACTACACATGCAGCTAGAGATGAGAGCAGTAAAATTTTTCACTGAGGAATAATTCAGTAAGTTTTTCAGCTTCAAGCACTACAGAGATTAACTTCCTCCCTGCTCTTTTCTTTGTCTTCTTTAACCTAATTCAGACCTTTTCATCAACAAGGGATGCAAAACACATGAAAACACGAGTCAACAGATTTAACTTTTGTCACAGTAGATATATATGTATTTATTTTTCCTAAGGCTCATCCCATACAATGTTCTAGATACATTTTGGTATTAGAGGGCGTAACACGGTTTTCAGAGCCATGCAAAATTATATTTCCAATGACAGTACTTTGATTATACTGAATAAATATTCAGTTAAAATATTCCAGGAGTTAAATATTTTTAGAGTATTTTTCTCTGTGTTCTACAATTAAGCAAGACCATTCTATTTAAATTCACCAAGAGTTCTGTCCACAAAATGGCCAAATACCAATAAGAGCTTCAACTTCATGGAAAGAGTTGCAGGGAGTGACAAGGGAAGACGCATGCATCCAAACAAAATGTGACATTCAGAATATGTGAATGTAAATTTTCATGATAAAAACATCAGGAACAGAACTGACTAGGAAATGAGTAAAGATCATGAAGTAATTTAAAACATAGCAATTCTTACCCAAAAAAATGGTAATATCCTCTTACACCATAAATACTCTGTTGAAATAATCCATTAAATATACCAATATACCATATAAATGACAATATATAGTATTTAGAACAAATTATTTTTCCTTCAACAACTCTAAATTACGGTTTTTACTGGATGTTGGTTTGAACTTCTGACATCCATAAAAGACCAAAGACCACTGCATTATTAAATTGCAATAATTTATTATCAGAGTGTTTTCCATGCATGAACACTGAAATCAGATTCAGAATATGTTAATCATTCCTGCTGAAGTCAAAATGTATAGCTCACCTGAAACTGAAAGGTTATCTGAGACGTTAGATATCACTGCTGGTGAAGTCATGACATTATAAAATAAAACATCTGCAGAGTGGTAGTTTAAAAATGTACAAATTGAGTTTTGGAACAGAAAATGGCAGTAAATAGCTGTAACGTTTCCCCATTTTCAAATAAGTATTTAAATCTCTAATTGTAAGAAGGAAGGTAGACAGATACAGCAAGGTGAAAATTGTCCTTATTATACTTATCCAATTGCTAGTCTGTACTTAACCCATGAGGCTTAGCTTTATAAATACCAACAATGTAGTGGCAACCTTAGAAAGGTTACTGACAACTTTCACCAAAATAAAAGTACCTTGAATGAGATCCTGTCTTTAGCCACTCCATCGCTATTTTTCCCTCACTCACATAGAGCAATGAGTGATTTATTTAAAACAATGAGTGATTTTATTCAAGTAAAATAAAAGCAATGTTCACTTTGCAGGTTGCATAAATAAGGCTAAAAGCATACAAATGAACTTCTTTGGGTAGTTAATGCGTTTCATCTTTTGATTGTGCAACTGCAAATAAGAATAAAGTGAATCAGAGTTATCCATTAGGCTGTTAGCTATATTTCTCTTATTCCAGACAGAAGAGATAAGGGAGGGGGAGGAAAGAAGGACACATTCTTCTCTTCTTAAGCACACTTTCCATTTGTTTCTGAAGCAAGTTCTCAAAGTAGAAAAGAAGTGTGAACACATGAAATATAAACAACAGTTTCCCTGTGCCAAATACATGTCATTACTGCTCTGCGATCCAAGTAGAGAAATTAAACAAACTTATCATAAAGGCAAACGAGTGACAAACCTTTACAGCTCCTAGCTGCTCTTTCCTAAATCTTTCCAAAGGTTTGATCAGAGTTTCAGTAACACTGAGTGCCTAAAAAAAAAAAAAAAAAAAAAAAAAGAGAGAGCAAAGGTTAAGCTTCTGTTGCCAGACAGACAAGTCACTAAGTCACTTTAGCACCATCAATCAAAAGGGGGAAAAAAAAGACAAACAAGCTCTGGGGCTTATAAGGAAAACATGGTGGGATACTAAGTCCTAACTCAAAAAAAATCCTGTCTCTGAGTTCATTTAAGGTTTCAAAATTTCTATCTTGTCTTTCAATTCACTGTAAGGAAAATTAAAACAAATCTAAAACAATTGAACAAATGCAGAAATTGCATTTGTTTGGCTGCAGCCAAACAGTAACTGCTTTACTTATGCCAGTCTTGCAGATCAGGTCAACAGCCTCCACAACTGAACACCAGAATGTGCCACACAGAAAAAAATAATAGTTTTCATTTGAGGACATACACATTTCTGCAGCAACGCAAAAACACAGGAAACAGCTGTAGAATGGGCAACTGAGGTGTAATTAATAAGCTTTTAACACACAGCTAAAACCATTAGGAATTGAAATATATATTTCCAAATATTTAAATTTAATTAAATTAAGAAAGCTTCAAGTTAACATAAGTTACAAAATCAAGAGGTGTAGAGACAAGAAATGAGAAATTTAGTTGACTAGGTAAAGTTTAATCTGTCTCTTCCACAGCATCCATCACTGAGCTTTTTAATATGGCTATGAGGCCATTTATCATAAGAAACAAAAAAGAAAACAACATGCCACTTAAAGACTGAAAGCTAGCTTATAAATAAGTTTAAGTTTGGTCTTGCTGTGAACGCGAATTAGAATTTTAAAAGCATTTGAAATTTAGCAAAAGCTGGAATTTCTTAAATACAACAGGAGCACTGAGAAAGTGTAAAGAGCACAGCAGATGTGGAGGAGCAGAGGGGTTCCTTGTGGTCCCAGGCCCAAGGCAGAGCCCCAGGGCACTTCAGTCACCCCAGCCCAGGGCTGAGCTGCCAGGAGTGCAGGCAGAGCTCCCTGGAAGCCCACCTCAGATAGAGCAGAAGTCTTCCCCCCGCCCCCCTCCAAATTTAAGAGGTTTCAGATAAAACACTGCAGGCCTAATCTGGCCTTCTGAAAAGCTCTTATCGTAAAACACACGAGGGATATATTAGAGATCTGGCACAGCACAAATCCAAATAGCACTGTCTGCTCCCACCCAGCCCTGGAGCCATGCGGGGATTACTGTGGGAGTCATCTTGCCAATTCACCGTAACCAGAGCAACCCTGAATTTTCAACAGCATGCTAACCTATTTATCTAGCTGGAAACTCAAATATTGGGCAAGTCTGGGCCAAACTAAGCATTGCACAGTCATCCTCAGATATTCCCTAAATTCAGAGCACTTGATCTTGTGGCCCAAACCCTTTCTTTCTGCGTTCACTTCCTAATTTTGTCAGAAACACTAAAAGTACCCTTTAGCACAAACCTGACGGAAGAAGAAAAAGGAGGACTTGACAGCCAGAGAAGTCAAACGTCCCAAAGAGGAACTGAAAAATGCGGTTACAGGAAGGATCCATCCCACCCGGCACGCTGCATCCTATTTACTCAAGCAGTTATTGGGGTCTCTAGGGCATTTTAGGACATTCACTTTTGTGAGGCTCCCAAAACTTCCCTAGAAACTCTGAAGGAGCTGAAAGGAAACAGCAAGTTGTATGTATAACTGGAGCAACCCCAAGCAACATCACCTGAGGCCTTCGGAGTCTCTCTTGGCTTGGCTACAAGGATTCACACAAATCCAAGCAGAGAACCTCTCCAGAGGCTGACAGAATAATGACAGAATAATCCTTCAGTTTGGGAACATTTCAAGAAGTTTGAGTTGTTTCTGCCAGTTTCCTCTCCACTGACGGCGTGAGGGAGGAAGGCTGTGAGGCCTCCTCAGAGAGGAGCCCGGGGAGGATGAGGAGAGCCGCAGGCTGGTACCAGCCAAGCAGAATGCTTTCACAAAGGGAGGTGCTTAAAGGCAGCACTGAAATGGTCAAAAACTTAAAAATTAGCATCTAACAACAAGTTGCTTCTTAGTTTTTTGAACTTTTACACAACGAAAAGGGAAACATAAGGTCAACAGGCAATGGATGCATGCTGAACATGAAGTCCGAGTCAAAATAAATCCCAGCAACCTGGCTCAGCAGAAAGAAAAAAAACATGGGCAGAAAAGGCTGAGGTTCACAAACCAGAAGGGCTGGCTACAAATCACTTGGTCTGCTACACTTCTGTGCGGCATTAACCATGGGAACCACTGAAGGTATTTGTTTGAAGCAGAAAATAATCTTTCAATCAAAATGGGATGTTCCCTCCAAGACAGCCAACAAATAAAGATTCCAGTGTTGCCAGTGGTAAAATAAGCCAGTAATTCTTTCATTAAAAGAAAAACAAGCCTCTTTTCCTTCCAAAAAAAAGTTTCTCATTTTGCTCAACAAACTTTTGTAACAGATGCCTCTGCAGCAGAAATTTGCCTGCCCTGCAGGTATTTATGATTTGTCACCCCCTTTTGCTTTCTCTGAGCGGGTTAAACAGCAGTGCTTATGAGTATTTCTTGGTGAAGTGGGATTTTGCAGCTCTTTGATCATTCTTATGGAGCTTCACACCAGGCCCACATAAAAATATAGGAGGAACATTTCTTCCTCACTGAAAGGAGTGTGAGAGTTTGTACATACAGAAGCTGTCAACCAAGATGCGACTGGTACATAGTGAATTAGAGATCTGTTCTTCTGACTCATACACATGAAAACATTCATAGCTACAAAATGCACAATATTAAATTACAAAAGGAGGAATTTGAAGTGTTTCCCAGTACTTAGAATTCAATGCTTATCATAAAGAGATGGAAAAAGTTGTTTTCATTCCATAAATAAGTACACATTTTTATGATATTATTCATATTTATAACTTGGGAACTCAAAAGACACTACTTTTTTAAAAAAACTAGATAACAGATAAGTAGATAAAAAATATTTCCTCAGTACATAGAAATAAGCAAAAAAGCTAAGGGCCCTTTGAATTTATTTATTACACACCCTTCCCTTAAAGAAGTTTACATCAAAATCCACCACTTTCAAGAAAATATATCAGGAATTCAAATTAAATATTAATTAATAACAAACTGCATGTTCCTGCCTCTTTCAACAACTTTTGTATGACTCTTGAGTTAATTTTTTATTCTACACACACACAAAAGTCTTTTCTGTTCCTTATACCCCTAAGTTACCCAGACCTACCTGAAAGGAACATATACCCGATTTTAAATTCCAGCAAGCAAACTATGGTATGTGTAAGCCGTAAGTGATCAATATAAAGAGGTCACGTCTCAAGTAACACTATCTTAATCAGCTTTAGGAACGTCAAGGTTTCACAAATGCTTTCAGAAATGTCTAATGCAATATGCACATGTGCCTTGGACCAAATACCTGAAACTGCTTATACTATTTCTATTCTATTTGTTGCAACTACTGACAGGCCAAAGAATTAAACTTCATTTTAACGTAAGTCTGGGAACAGCAGCAAAAAAAAAAAAAAGTCATCATTGCCAACATCACTTCAGGAGATCCCCGTAGCCAACATTTCCAACAGTATCTTGAAGTAGGCTTTCAGCTTTGGATATACCTCCTAATTTCAGATGCCCTTACAAAACTTCACCTGCTCAGGCAGAGACATTTTACAGAATGGTGATAATCCTGACTTTTACAGCTCCATATATTTCAAAAGAAATTTGTAACAGGTTGCAGATTAAGAGGCCCAAGCCAACATTTTCTACAAGCAGTCCACAAAGGCACAGACTCAATCCATTAGCAAGTCCATTTACATTTCCAGCAGCTTGCCAATTAGTCACTCGAGTCAACAAGATCCAACAGGTAACTCACCAGCCAGTGCCAGTCCACAACCGACTTCATTTAGCCTTTTTTTTTTTTTTTTTTTTTTTCCTCTTCTCAGAGAGGGCGGGAGAATGGCTGTTTAGGGAGAAACTCCTTCCCTGAACACCTCCTCCCATGCACTGGAACCTGCCAGACAGCACCATCCACCAGCGCTCAAAGCTCTCTGCATGCTTTCTCACCCTCCAGAGCAGTCTGTCTGAGAAACGCAGCACCAACAGGTTCCCGCTCCCCTTGCGGCCACAACCAGGCTGTCTTGCAGAAGAGGAAGGCTGCTTACATGGGCTGTGAAGGGACATCGACCCACGAGAGCTGTCACAGAATCTCAGTCTGGCCTCTGTGGTTACAAAGGTGAGATCAACCAAAGTTAACCAAATTTCGGTTTGCAAGTTATACAAATGCAACTATGGTCTCCCAGCATTCATCCTAAAAATGATTTCAGCCTTTACTGAAAGAACTAGAAGTTAAACATTGTTGGTCAATAAACCCTGGTGGTGAGAAATTCCTGCACTGATCCTACTCCATTTTGAATCCAAGCATCCTCCCATACAAAAGAGGCTTACTAAAAATGGCAAAAAAAAAAGCCATAAACATGTACCTTGCTACAGACTGCACAGTGACACAGGGGTACCCACTTCCAAAGCCTCATCAAAGGAACTGGAATGCACACCACATGCCAAACAGCAAGACAGGGTGGTTTAAAGTTTCCCAGTGCGCTGACTGGGAAGATTTATTTGTGGACAGGGGCAGGATTGTCTCTCCCTGTCAACAAAGCAAAGGAGGAGGCCCACAGCCAGAAGGGCAGAGCTTGTGAAACTGAGTAAGTGTCAATGAAACTGGATCTGGGAAGGAAGTTTTGCCCTTCTCAATGTAACAGAGAATGCGGAAAGGAAGACACAGCTAACAGTGATTCAATAATAAAGTAGGTAACACTGCTGCTAAATAAAGAAGTGTACTTTCTAATAAAGAACTTTACTACCTGCAGCTGCATTTCTGCTCACAGAGGACATACAGAGCTCTTTGTGTTCCTTGTAAGGAAGTGCAACATTCAGCCTAGTACAAAAGGTGACTTTCTGGGATCTCCAATATTTGGGTGCAGGGGAAGAAATGGAAAAAAAA